TACAGCCTTAATTGCATTCGTTAAACCCTAAAATATTCATGCACCTCCGTTATAAGGATGGGTAATCGATCTCAATACATGCAATAGCCGCTTTACCAGCCGTCTGGTACCTGCATGCTCAGTTCACGTAGATATACATTAATATTGCTTCGAGACCAATAAGGCTGTTTACAAACGCGCTTTGTACTTTGTGGCTGGCTTGCAAACAAGCCTGTCCCATTATTGCACCATTGTGTGCCATCTAGTGTCTGGAAATTTTGCAATTAATATGGGCTTGTAACCACGCCTCAGTACAGCTGATTAAATTCATGTGACGCCCACTACCCAGTGTATTGTGACGCCGGCCATAGTCGAGATTGATAGGTTAATAAATATTGTGCTACCATAATGAGGCTTTTTGTTAATTAACCCTTAGAGCGCCACGTCAGTCACCGGTGCCTGACGCTAGTGGAGGTTTGACTTTCAGAATTTTAAACTTTGCAGTTAAAGTATTAATGTTGGGTTTCGAAAATTTTTGAGTTCTATTTTATTTATTTACAAACCAAATTATTAACTTTTTGTAACCAATTTTTTATTGCCTGTTAGTTAGTTAATCACCGTCACTAGTCACATCTTTTTACATTATTTCAAAACATGTCCTATACAATAAATTAACTGACACTCAATCGAATTATAATTTAATCCTTTATGAAAATAAATGATGCAATCTACCATCGCTTCATGCGAAATACATTTTAAATGTAATTACAAATAATAATGGTTGAGCGCAAAGGTGGAGGCTTGATTGGTTGAGTGAGACCGCGAAGTGCGGGCAGGCCAAACTTTCTTAATTAACTCGTTATTGTGCAGTGCACGAAACACCGAGCTGTGTAAGCTCTAGCCACGTAGGTATAGCTTACAGGCTACAGCCGTCCTTACTAAGTAAACACTACCAAGTTATTATTTATTGTATTTCAGTTGTTATTGTTCGGATGCTATAAATTATGCATGCTGCAAACCAACTTTGCAATCACTGAAACTAGCATGATATAAAGTAACATTTTATTTTTGTTTTCATTTCGGAGTAAGACGACTATTCAGTAGAATTAAGTACCTAACTATTAATAAGTAACGGTCCATGGGGGCGCGGATCGCTTACCATCAGGTGATCCGTCTTCTTATTTGCCTCTTGTTCCATAAACTAAACTATATAAGTAAGCACATACACGATATGGTACGTATACATATGTATATGACTCATAGGACTGTGTACAGATATCGACTTAATCGGTAATCGTTATCGATACTTGCAAAGGTTTCTATAGCGCAATCGACTAAACCTTGATAAGTAACGTATCAAAAGAACTAAACATTATCCACATGCCTACATAAGAGGGAAGGTTACGAACCTATTCGGATAATAAGGAAACCTTTCGTAGTAGAAAAGGTCGAATTAATTATGTAGACCGTATCGAAAGGCAGAGCCGACGTGGAATCAATGTCAGGCTTTTTCAGACATACCCATATGTGTCCTCATTGCCAACACACAATGCTCTTTAATCTGACCATTATTGACATGGCTCTTGCCACCCTGCGCCTTATTAAGACCACCTCTTTTATTTTTATAGTCTGTGACAAAAAATTCGCCTTCATGCAAGTCAATAGAAATGACAACGGTATTAAATCCTCATTAATTTACCGTCATTCGCTATTCTAGAGTCGTAATGTCGGAAATTGATTGATTTTGTTTATGTATCCTGGATCGCACTAGACCACACACAGCAACTTATAAATCAGAATGAAATGAACTTTATTAGACTGATATTCCAGTTTTTATTCTTGTGGTTGGCATCTAGATGACACTTATTAATAAAAATATTGTCAATTATAAAGTATTCATTCTATTATCGCCACTGCTCTATCGACGATGAATGAAACTATTTCAGTGCATCGAGATATGTTTCAGTGGTTTTGCTAAAGTAAAAATGTGTATTTCTGTAAAAAATAGAAAAATACAGAAGAATTAATCTATAACTGCCTAACTTCTGTGCATCTCTTTACTTACCTCCGAATAAATATACCTACCAAGCTAACAAATAGTCGTGTTATATGCTCAAATGTACCTAGGTAATATGTGCCTATGTTTTTCTTAATTAAGTACATCTTTATGAAAATTATTGTTATCTAAGGTAATTTTAGCTAATTATAGTAACCTAAGTACTTAATTAATAGCACACTCAAAATTAGTCTCGTAATTTAGTGTAATAGTTATTCCTGGACTTAAACGTGAAGCTCACGCTTACGTCCATAAAATTATATTGGCTAACTATTTAAATAGCTATCTGAGCTGTAACTACGTAATGGCCGAAGAAATGTAGATAAAGGGAGATAAATGAGGTACTTGCACACTGCCTCCAACTCCAGACCTCGCGCAAAAACGCGGCTAGCTCATGGATGGATACTACCATCTACTAGTATATAAAGCCTTTATTTCTTAGAACAACCAACTCTATATAGGGTCATTACACGGACCTCCGGCCTCCACATCACCACAACAAAAATTAATCAGTAGGCAAAGCAATACCTCACAGCTACACAAGAGAGACTAGTCCACAAAAACGCTCCATTAAAACGATAAGTTTTTCAATGAGGGATTTAGCAAAAGCTTCTTTTTTCATCCACTTCGTTCACCCATAAACGAACGCTGTCAGCCATCGCCATTGAAATCGGTCTCCTTTAATTTTGAAGCCAATAAATTTTGTAATCCGCCAACTGAATTTATATCGGCCATTTAATGTCAATAAAAGAGAAGACGCCAGCTCGCGCTTTTTGCCGGGCCCGCCAAATGTCACCGAGCTCATTTTACATACAAAGGTGATGTGTCAATGATTATAGTTAGGAGACTCGGGGCCGAGTTGCCGAGTTCTTTGCATTCCTTTCCAAGGTTAATTCAAGGGTATCTGCGAGAATCGAGCACCAGCTCGTAGGTAGGTAAATTAATCACAATACTATATACTTACACAAATGCTCGTATGATGTGCAGTGCAATTATTTTACAGGATTTGAAATGAATTCCCATAGAGTTGAGAATCATGTTACACCAATCACGCTATCCAGATTGAGCGTCAATATTTACACATTAATACAAAGCGTATTGTAATTACATCCCGAACATAATACGTGCTATGCGCGCTATTGCCATCTCATTTCATTAAGTGCGTCTAAGTACCTTGGTACGTACATACCTAGGTATTAATCTGTAAACAATGTCAGTCTAGCCGTTGAAGGCGTCACTCAGGTTCCATTAACCCGTCAATGGTGGACGGAGAACTTGGTTGCGTATGACAGTATACTTGTTCAAGTCTAATCGCTTGATGAGGGAGTCATGTCGACACGCACACAAATTGCGTCGCTTGTTTACGACATACCTACCTAACTCAATTTGTGTATTGTAGTGCACTACCTACTTAATCGTTTCGCCAGCGAGAGGGTGGAGCACCCGATATCCTTTGTCTGTTTAATACTAGGTACACGTTTGGAATAATGGCACACGCAATCGTATTAGGTCGCGCCTGATTTAGTAATAAAAAGGCTTTGTTTTGTTTAACACGCTGTGTAGGTTCTCCTCTACCTAGGTACCTGTATAAATGTAGGTGGGTAGATCCATCCGTTAATTAATCAGAGTATAGGCAGGTACACTTATGTAGCTACCTACCTAAGAACGGAGGCAGCGAGGTAGGCAAGTAGTTACACAATTTTTTAGGGAAACATCTAGACAAGACACAGCTACCTACCCACTATCGTGTAAAGTGAGACATTTAACTACCTACTTACATTTTTTCAAAATAATCGTACAGACGGTGAATGTCTTTTGAGAATAATCATCATTTTTGAATTGGAACGCCAAATGGCATTTCCATTGAAGCAAATGGTAGAGCCGTGCCGCTTTGTCGTCAGCCATTCGCTTCAGATTGAAAGGGCTGGATTCGATATCGTATGGAGCAGCTAACTGCCGATCGCAGCGACGAATGAATACCTACACCCGATACAAAGAACTGATCGGAATATTGAAGCTTACTCGAGTAGCGAGTCAATAGTGTCGCTACAAAATAGGACGAATTTCTCATTTGGATCTTGCGTAGCTACTTTAAAAAGCACTTAATTATATTAATGTTAAGAATAGATGAAATCTACCTATTCATCTGATGTCTAAACTTGCCCACCTGTAAATAGGAACAAATAATAATAATATAAACGAAACTTCTTGGTACTCTATGTTTCAAAATCGATTGATGTTTTCTCTTATTTATCTTGACACTTTTGACATTAATAGAATAGTAATAAAAAGTTAAGCATTGGAAAATAAATGGTAAAAAATTAAGAAGTGTCTATTTTTTTAATTATTTTTTCCATCGCACATCATCACCATGTTGGTTAAGCCGCGTTTAAAATGTGACGGTTGCATCAAGCCGGCGGCACGACGTCTCGCTCTATTCCAAGCAAAAGACGAATACGAGTGCTATGCAGAGAGTTACGTCAAATGTTTCTGGGGGCTTTGCGATCTACACAAAAGCCACGAGAATATTCATCCCATGAAAGAAATCGAGAGTGAGAAACCAGTTTAATTTGTGATTATGTACTTACGATTTAAGATTATTAAGTACCTATTTATAAAGGTATCTGTATATGCACATATTTCCAGTTATGTGAAACTAAAGCAATATTTCTATAACAATACTAATTTCTATAGTTTCTTTTCTTATGAGGTACCAACAATATAATTGCCATCATATTTCTGCATCTCTGAAAGAACTTCTCTTGACCATGTGCTGAATGTTCACTAGAAACATATTGCAGGATTATAAACAAAAAAAAATTCTGAGTGATTACATACTGTTTGTTTCAGTAGTAACTGATCAGCCAAGACCCCAAGAGTTGCCGTACAACAATGCCAGGATAATGAATGATATTGCTGTGACAAGTTGAAGAAGAGCAACCCGTACAAATAATAATAACTAAATAGTAAAAATATATTATATTTACAAGTACCAAGTTATAAAATTAAATTATAGTCAAATACTATTTTGATTTTCATTTAATACTTGTCTTACATTCATATTTATTCTTGACTCTTGAATGTAATTTCTGAATCTGTTCCATTTTTCATTATCTATGTTTTCATTCATTGTTCCAACAAATTCCTCTGGTTGTGATATGTATTTGAAACTGGATATACTATTGCTGGAGACATTTGAAATTTCTGTTTCTTCCCAAGGGGATTCAGCTGATGGTAATATTTTTGGTACAGCATGGTAACATAGTCTGGCCTTCTTAGACATAACCACAATGTCCCCACTTTTGATTAGTATTGCTGATGGCTCTAATGACTTGTCTTGTCCTCCAATTAAAAATATTGCTGACTGGCCAAAGCTGGAACAGTATAATATATTTATTTAAAATTAATTTCATTTATTTTTTGTATTTGTGTCTTGTAAATAGTCTAGTGGATTTTTAAATTAATTATCCTTACAATTGAGAATACTTTTACTTTTTGTTTCTCATTTTACAATTAAAAATCAACAAATATTACAATTTATGAATAAATATAATTTTAAACAATATCAATACCTGAATGAAAATAGAGGTGCTTCCAAATTGACTTCTGAATGGTCAGTATGTGCTGATAATGTGGAGTTCATGTGGTAATAATTGACTATTGCTGCTTCAGCCTTAAAGTTAGAGTACCCCAAGTACTTAGCCAATATATCTGACAACTCTGCCAGGTCCAGAGGAAAAAGTGACTTGTTCTGTTCTGTGTAAACCTGGAATGTTAACAACAAAGATAGATTAGAACAACCTTCTTCTCCCGTTATCTTCTTTTAATAAAATATAGGTGGGCTGTGAAATAACCAACACAGATCAAATAAAAAGTAAGATCTGATAAAGGCTAATATTATTGAAAAGAAATACAAGACTTAATATTTAAATACAGTCAATAAATATAATATTAACATTTTACTTTTGTGTCCCAGTTGTGGTGGTAGCCTAATGTTGTCCATCGAAGTTTCTTCTGCAGCTGCCTATCACATTCACTATTTTTAAAGCATTCCACCCACCAGTCTTCTACATTCATTTCTATATCAATATTTAATTTATTTGGTTTCATTGGGTATTCTTCAAGACATTTTCTAACCCAATATCTTTGTCCAAGTGTAGTGAAAGGATTTCTGATAAATAGTAACCCGGGGTGCCTCACAAATGTATATATTTTCCATGTTCTTATACTTTTTAGTCCCAATAAATCTGCTCTTGGATCGTCAGTACATGTATCGAGGGTTATTTTGTTCACCTAAAAGAAAGTAGACATTATAATTATCTACACAGTATTTATTGTCCTGCACTAACAAAAGGTGGATTTATATAATTATCCCTTATCGTTCAATTTTACGTCGATTGCACAACGAAGGAGGTTTGATGACTTATATAATGAGGACTTCATAAACTTATCTTCTACGGACGATAAATTCGGTTTTTCTTGCATTTTTTCAGTAATAAAACATATTTTTTTAAATAAATACAATCACATGTTTGACATCAATGTTTTGATTGAAAGGGATTGAAAGTATTGAACTTTGAAGTTTGAATGAATTTGTCATATCAACTTCGTCAACAGTCAACACATGTGATGAGTTTAGAAATAGACGCGAATAAAAGATGTTATTACTTGTACAAAAAATATATATATAATACCGATAAGTTATTGATTAATATAAAAACGGAGTATTTTAACGAATTTAAGTTAAAGAAGTCAATGGTTTAAAAATTAAGATTAATAAAAATGTGTTGCGTTTCGATGCGTGTAACTCAGTATATTAACCAAATGTCAATGTCATTGTCAAATCATTTTAACCAAAATACTGGGAGACTTGTTGGTAGCGGTGAAGGTTACGCACGTGCTTTTGTCGTTCCTACGTTTAGTCTATTAGTTTTAGTGTTTTTATTCATAGTGAAGCGAACTGAAAACCTTTTAGTCCTGTGTTGTCGTGTTTTTAACTGTGTGTGTAAATTTTAATAAGGTATTGGTTGTTGTAAGTGAAGTTAACCACTTGTTCCCTCTTTAATCTTAATCTCCGAAATGGACGAGGAGAAACCACCTGACCCTCCTGATAAATCCCCACAATATGAAACCGAATCAATCCTCACGATTATCCTTCCTCCCAACACCCCGGAATCTGAAACAATGGAGTTAGAAACCGCGAACAGCAGGAAACGACATGCCGGCTCCCCACCTATCTCCCAGAATAATCCCCCAAAATTGGCAAAAAGTACGCACGGTAGACAGTGCTACACGGCCAGGGATAACCCCCCATATATAGTTTATGTATCCCTTAAGGATTCCCAGACGTCTGGAACCACGCTACACCCTGTTAAGTTTGGGATGTTTTTAATGAAACACAACATTAACAATGTTAAAATTGGTGGTGTCAAACGGCTGGGTAGGAATAGAGTATCGGTCGAGTTTGTGTCTCACCAGGATGCAAACAGTTTCTTAGTGAACGGTATGGTGGCTCAAAACTACGTGACCTCGATCCCACAGTTTAACATAACTCGTATGGGCATTGTAAGGGACGTCCCTGTCGAGTGGTCAGAGGATGAAATAATTGGTAATATCAGGGTTCCCGCCGGGTGTGGGGCTGTGATAAAAGCTAGGAGGATGAATAGAAGAGTTACATCTACAAATGGTACTGAATGGAAGCCTACGCAAACTGTAGTGCTAACTTTCGATGGTCAAACCCTACCCAAAAAGGTGTTCTGTTTTTATTCAGCACTGCCGGTGGAATTGTACTCATACCCTACCATACAGTGTTATAATTGTTGTCGTTTTGGGCACACCCGCACCCTTTGCCGCTCCAAGCCACGTTGTTTCAGATGTGGCCAGGATCATCCAGGCGATGGATGTCAGATTTCAGCCGAGACTGCCCATTGTATCAACTGCAATGGCAATCACTTTGCTAACGACAAAGCTTGTCCTGAGTTGGGTCGCCAGAAGAGCATCAAAGCATTGATGGCGGAAAAATCAATCTCATATACGGAAGCAAGCCAAGTTTTCCCAACTGTTAAAAGGTCTTATGCTGAGGTCTCAAGATCAGCCAACCTTATAGTTTCATCTCCCAACAAAACTCCATCCCAACAAAGAGTGTCTACAAGAAAACAGTCCAACTCAAGCCTAAATCACATGCGCCCCTCTCTCCTAGCTATGATAAGAAGGCCCATCGGGCCCTTATCCAAGACTACTCTTTCTCCCGTCTAAAAATGGTTGCGCTTTCCCTGTGGAATCCGGAACCAATACTCGTAGCTCCAAGTACATCCTAAATATAGTCTCTGATATGCTCATGGCAGTGCTAGCAAACCCTGCCCAAAATATACCTGACCACGTCGCACAAAACTTTCTACAATTCTAGATTACATCTGTAACATTCCATCCTCTAACACTGCTTCAGTGGAACGTGAGGAGTACTCTTCCCAGGAAGAGTGACTTACTCCACTTGATAAATAAATTTAAACCATCGATTTGTGGCATTGCTGAGACATGGCTTCAACCGAATATTAATTTCGGGATCCCGTGTTTCAGTGTTGTCAGACATGACAGATCTGATGGTTATGGAGGTTGTGCTTTGTTAATTAATAACAAAGTGCCCTTCACCCAGATCCCTCTACCCTTCGTTGGCGATGACATAAATGTTGTCGCTGTTAAGGCTGAGGACATAAATATTTTTGTATTTTATATTGCTCACCCTCATGTTGATCACATTATGTTAATTAAAAGTTTACTAACCTTGGTAAGTGGCCCATTGCTTATAATGGGTGACTTCAACTGCCACCACTATAGATGGGGTTCAGATGTATGCGATAATGTAGGTATTGAATTAGTAGAGATGCTGGACGAACTCGAATTGTGTGTCATCAATGATGGCAGCCCTACTCGTAGGTTGCTTTGGTCAAAGAAACAGCTGTGTGGACTTGACCTTCTGCTCGCCTGCTATGGCTGGCGTGCTTAATTGGAGTTGTTTGAATTTGACCTATGGTAGTGATCACTATCCTATCATAATTAAACACCTGTCAAAATCTATTCCAGATAAACCCCTTCCCCCCCTATTAAAATATCGTTTGAATGCAGCTGATTGGGATCTTTATTCAAAATTATTAGACTACCGTATCTCCTTCCTTTCACCAATTAATCCTGAGAATGCTTTGGAGTGTTTCTCAAAATTTTCGGACCTGATAGCCTCCACTGCTGAAGATTGCTTTCCGGTGAAAAACGCACCGAAAGGCAAAATCCCTTCTCCGCCATGGTGGGATAGTGAATGCACTGCCATGATAAGGGCTAGGAATGAGGCTGAAAAGACATATAACCAAGATATGAACCTGGAAAACCTCATAAATTTCAAACGAATGTTGGCTAAGTCAAGGAAATTGTTCAAAAAAAAGAAGAGACAAGGGTGGCAAAGATTTTGTGGTTCTCTGAGCCCATCCACACCAGTATCTACAGTTTGGCAGAGAGTGAAAAATTTCAGGAGCTCCACCAAACCTCCCACTATCTCGATTTTACCCGAATCTCTAAGTAACAGATTTTTAAATAGTATTGCTCCAGTATATGTTCCCAGTGCAGACGAGTGCTGCCAGAGACCCTATGACGAAACACATGAACCGCTCGATTTGGAGTTCTCTTATGAAGAGCTCCAAACGGTACTCAACCATGTCAAGGACTCGGCACCAGGGATTGATGGGTTCCCTTACTCCTTCCTATCTAAGGCAGGAACTAAAACAAAACAATACTACCTTGACTTGGTCAATTTTTGCTTTACTTCAGGTTATATTCCTCCTACTTGGAAGGTTCAGGTTATCATGCCGCTGTTGAAAGCTGGCAAGGATCCTGGTGATCATAAGTCCTACCGACCTATCGCTCTATCGTCCGTACTTATTAAAGCTTTTGAACACCTCATTAAAAACCGCCTTGAATGGTTGGTTGAAAGCCGGAGGCTGCTTCCGGCGACTCAGTTTGGCTTCAGGAAAGGTCTGGGTACGGCTGACAGTGTGGGTGTCCTCACGTCAGCCATCCGACTGGCCCTTAGCAGGCAGGAGTCGCTGGTCGCGGTCTTCCTGGACATCTCAGCGGCCTATGATTCTGTCCTCTTACCCCTTCTCAGGCAGAAATTGCAAGAGCTGAGAATCCCGAGTGGGATTTGCCGAATTATAGGCTGTATCCTCTCCAATCGTACCCTCCAATTGAGAACTCCTGAGGATAACCCAGTACAGAGGTCCTCCTGGAAAGGTTTACCTCAGGGGTCAGTCCTTAGTCCTATCCTTTATAATATATATACCTATGACCTCCCCTCCTGTTTAAATTTTAACTGTAATGTCCTTCAGTACGCTGACGATATCGCATTAATGGTCACCAGCAACTCTATAACAGAGGCCGCCCACTCCATCAATGTCTCTTTGTCCTCATTAAACCAATGGCTTCTCAATCACGGGTTATCTTTAAGTGCCCCAAAAAGCTCGGCTGTCATTTTTACACGCAAACGACGCACTCCGGATCTTCGTATAGAGATGGACGGTCAGACTATCCCGATTAAAAGCAGCGCTAGATTTTTGGGAGTTCATCTCGACTCAAAGATGTCTGGGGTGGACCACATAAACACCGTAGTTGGAAGGTGTGAACGCTCAGTATCAATACTCAGAGCTCTGGCTGGGGTATGGTGGGGTGCTCACCCCTCTTCATTGAAGCTCATATACAATGCATTGGTCAGAAGTGTAATGGACTATTGTTGCTTCCTTATTGTACCTTGCAATAAGGAAGCATTAAAAAAACTAGACTCCATTCAGGCCAAATGCCTTAGAATAATTATTGGAGCTATGAAATCATCCCCCATAAACGCTCTTCAGGTTGAATGTGCGGAGCCTCCTCTCAACCTTCGAAGACAATACCTTGCAGACCGCTTCATATCAAAAGTCCTCTCCCTCTCATCACATCCCCTTCTCCCTATCCTAGATCAAATCCACTGTTCCTACAGCTCCTCTTCCTACTGGAAAAATAAACCTGTCCCTCCCGTGATTGCTAGGTACAGGGAGCTTAAAAACCTCTCTGCACCCATAAGTCAATATCCTGTGCTCCCAGTGTTTTCTTCCGTATATGAGGTTATCCACTTTAGACCAAAACTGATTTTAGGACTTGGCATTTCGAAATCCACCGTGAATGCTGCAGACGAGTTCAAACGTGCCTTGGACAAATACTGGAGAGGCTGGAATACCTTCTACACAGACGCGTCTAAATTATCCCGAATCGGATGTACAGGAGTGGCAGCGTACTTCCAAAATTCGAGGATCGCTCTCCTCTCCAAGTGTCCCCGGAGGCATCAGTCTTCACGGGTGAATGTGCGGCCATTTTGGAATCACTCAAATTTATTAGAGCTCACAACCTCAAAAATTCCGTAATTTTTTCTGATTCCCGAAGTAGCCTACAGTCCCTCAACCAAGATCAGCTCCATTCCCGAACCCATAGCAGTTTGGTTGTTGAGATAAAGGCGCTTCTTCTTTCCTGCTTCAATGATGGCCTAAACATCGAGATCGCTTGGATTCCTGGCCACTCTGGCATATGCGGTAACGAGTGTGCGGATTCCTTAGCCAAATTTGCGGCCTCGAACGATGTCGAACGTCAACACTACGTGGTGTACGGGTATGATGTACGTGCCGACACCAAACACAAGCTTTTTGACTCATGGGCTGCAGTGTGGGTAGACACTTCCAAAAGTAAAGGAGCCTACTATGCAAGTGTCCAGCCCGGCATCCGGCGGAGGCCTTGGTTTTCCAAGTACCCTAAGCTCCCCCGCCACACTGTTTCATCCTTGTGCAGACTCAGACTCGGCCATTGTAGTAGCCCAGTCTTCCTCAACAAGATCCGTGTCCGCGACAGCTCGCTGTGTGAATGCGGCCTTGACGAGGGAACTGTAGACCATATATTTTTTTCGTGTCCTTTAAATTCCCAATCTTTTGACCTTTATAAAAAACTCCCCAGTATTCAAATCCCACTTCCAATTAATTTCCACCTCCTTTTAACTCACTTTTCCCCTAAATTAATCCATTGTTTATGTAGATTCATTAATGATAATGAGATTAAACTATGACGGTGACATTTATGTAAATGGTGTATATATCTGTGTGTGTTTGTATTGTGTACGTCCCCTCAACTATTTTCTTCACCCCTGTACTCATACAGTAAAATAGTTGTTAATATTTATATGTTTACTAACCCAATTGTTTTGTCCTTTCAGCTACTAACTACTAAAAACTACCGCAAAGTTAACTTCGACGGCTCATTAATCTGCCGTCACCACCTGACACTGGCAGTATAGTCGACAACATCGTATTGGAGACTCGGTTGCCAAAGAAGAAAGAAAAAAAAAAAAAAAAAAAAACCAAAATACTGGAACTGGATTTAGAATTGTGGAAACAGTGGTGTTTATAAAATAGTACATTAATAAATTCAACATTTCAAGAAACACTCTCGCAATAAGTATAAAATCATTATGAGTAATACTGTTTCAGAGCAACTCACAGATGCCATCAAGGTAATAAGAACCCCAGCATCTCCATACCTATATCTTTTGCTGAAACAGCAACATGTAGACAACTTGAATTCCATATTTTGTGGAAGTTCCTCTCAAAGAGAAGTCTACAAAACAGTATATTATTCTTGGTCAGTCAATATCCTAGCCAGTAAAATCTGTACTTATAAATCTGTCAACTGCCATCCTTTAGAAGTTTCTTGACTCATGTTAAAACTAATGAATGTATTAATTTTTCCAGAATACCGAAGATGGAAAAGCTAAATTAAGAAAATGGCTGAACATGAACTTCAGAATAGAAATGACAGATGGTCGAGTGCTTATTGGAGTATTTCTATGTACTGATCGAGATGCCAATGTTATATTAGGTAAGCTATAAATTTAGATATTTTATATTACAGTGAAACTTGGTTAAGTGGGACCTGGATAAGTGAGAAACCTCCATAACTGGAACTCATACTGAGGTCCCAACACATTGGCAATGAATAACCTCTGTTAGTGGGACGAGGTAAACCTCTATATCTGGGATTTGTTCTTTCGATTTATCATTATAGTTACCTCTATAACTGAGACAACGAGTAAATTTTATATGCATAAACCTCTGTAACTGAGATAACATTGTTTGTTTACTCATTCTTATTCTACCCACAAATTCCACACGTAATTCCAAGTCCACTTTTATTAATCTGTCAAACACCAAGCGGTCACCGGTGACCGCGACCTATTGTTCTTTAATTGTGTCTATAAAACCGGTACTCGACGAGTTAATGGAACCCTCTGTAAATGAGACAGATATTTATTTATACCTGTATATCTGAGACACTGGGTAAGTGGAATACCTCTATAAGTGAAACGACATTGTAGGTCCCTTAGGTCCCTTTTCACCAAGCTCTGTAAAAACTCAGTTACACGTAACCTAAGTTCTGTGTTCTGTGTTTTCTGTACTGAGTTCCGTGTAAACTAGTTTCTGTTTGTAGCGGTGAAATGTAAAATGAAGCTGTAACTTCGTTTAAACGCTTTAAATTCGATTAGACGCTTTAAATCAGTTTTGTTAGGTGTAATCGTGATCAGTTTCGTTGGTGAAAAGGGACCTTAATGTCTCACTTAACCAGGTTTGACTGTATATGTATACTTTAAAGTAGTTTTAGAAGTTTCATTTTATCCTAAATCTATCGTTCATTTACTAGTATAATATGGTATTTATCCAGTTATTCATATTTTCTAGGAGCATGTTCAGAGTATCTTAAAAGCGGTGATGGTGAAACAGAAGAACCAAGGGTACTTGGTCTAGTGATGGTCCCAGGTCGTCACATTGTTTCCATTCAGTTGGACGATACTACACCACCACAAATGTACTGTTACGATGAGTGATTCCTTACCAATGTCCTTGGTTTTGTAATTAAATATCCATTTTTAGTAATATCTCTTATTAGTTTGACATTGTGTATAATATTTATACTTTCTACTAATTAAGTTTTGATAAGAAATAAAACAATTTATAAGTGTTTAAGGTAAAAATGTATTTATTAATTAAGGAGTTTTCAAGTTTTTAATAAGCTGTTTAAGTACATCAGGTTCAAGGTAAATATTTTTGGAATCATTAGCAAAAGGATTGTATTCATCAATGTTGTGGTTGGATTGTAATATATTAGAAAGTTCTTTTACAAGTTCATTCATTGAATGTTGAGATCCATTTAGTTTCTTGTACAAAAATTGTCTATTAAGTATATTATTTAAGCAAATATATGGTTGAATAACTCTTTCTTGTTTACTTAATTTACTATAGTATATTACACTTTTGTTTCTAACATCCTCATCTTCATCCTGTAGAAGCATTATTGCACATTTAATTGTAATAACTTTCACTGAATCTGGCAAGTTATCAAATTCATTTGCTAGTTCATTGTTAGCTATAGCTGCGATATATCTCATATCAACATCCGATATTTCAAAATCACTTAATTTTCGAATGATCTGCACCAAGGACAACTGGCCGTCTTTCTGCAGGTACATAATATTTCTGGCCATCAATGGAATCATAAATCTTGTAATGTACACCGATTGCCTTTCCTCTACAACTTTCAAAAGTTCGGCTATATCTAAATGATTTGATAAATTAGTTTGTAAAGATATATCATAAATTATTTTCCATGTAATACTACTGTAATATTTCTTCTCAAATGATAGCAAAATATCAACTATATTTAATAAATGACCTGTGTCTGAGCATTTTTGCTCCTTAACTTTGATGAGAATAAATTCACAATACTTTTCGTAATTACTTAATTTCAATATGATTTGTAACAGATTTGGTATTTCATTCCATTCAGATAACTTTATATATTTCTTCATTCGAGCTTCTGCCCACAGGTCAACACCAGGCAAGTGCACTGAGCTAATAATTTCCAAAATTGTTGCTGCCATATCTTCTAATATGTAACTGTTTATGAAAATATCTTCAAACAATGTTTTGCTTAGATATGAATGGTTACCACTAGAAAATATTTTCTCAAATCTATGCTTGAGCTGCTTAAATTCTTTATATGCTTGATTCAATACATAATATTTTTGGCATAAGCTTAACAAAATTAAACTTCCGTGCAGATCATTCTCTGATAAAAAAACATGATTTAGTAGAACACTACAGATTTTTTGTACATCATAGATGTTAAATATGCATTTAGCTGTTAATCGCCTGACTGTATGTATGGGACTGTTGAGGAGTAATAGCAAACATTTTAACAAATCCTCATCAGCAGTTTCCTGATTTTGCATATCAAAAGAAAAGTTGTATCGCTTTGCACTATTTGCCAATAGATTCAGAATTGGTACTAAGTTTGAGTGTGACTGTACCATATCTGGTTGGTTGCTTAGCTTTAACTGTTGCATTATGTATTTCCATAGCTTTGGTGAATGAGTTCGGAGCTCATCGCATGCGACAGTCGCTGTAGTTTGCTCATCACTACCTGAAGCTTTCTTCTCACCAATTTGTTTTGGGATCAAGGCTCCATACAACTGAAGAGCCGCATTCCTGGAATTTTAAAATGTAAGTCAGTGCGCTATAGTATGAAATTGTAGTTAGACTAGTAGTATTAAGATTACCTGATTTGCCAATGAGCACTAGTAAGATTACCAAAAGCAAGCTCGGCTAATTTAGCAAAATAAAACATCATGTCTGAAGCCAAACCGCTGTCAGTGACGATTCTTGTTAAGAAATGTATGTAGATTGCTTTTGGTAGATCAATTTGATTTTCATCATTTCTTTTAGGAGTATCCTTTGTCGAATTACAGATCTCCAATAAAGTATTAATGAAGTAGTGGAATAATGGCTGAAAACAATAATATTTTTTGTAATAACAAATTTTTAAAAACAAGATTTGTGTATGTAGATATGATTTCGTACTTTCCCCTTCTTCATATCACTTGATACAATTCTGTGCACCATTATAGACAGACCTGCACCTCTTCTCGTTATAGATGCCATTTTATTTGTTTCTGATATTAAGTCATTCAGTTTACATTTAAGTAATGTGTTAGGTACTTCTGAAGTTTTATATTCTTCTGGCAATGAAGTTAAGAATTGAATGCCCTTTCCTATAATAAGAGACAAAAAAGGTTAAAGGATGTCCTTCAAACTAAATAGGAGAATGCCGTCGCTAAACTTTTTACCTAAGGAAGCTCCAGCGGCTTCTATAGCTCCTTTGTGTCGAGATGTCTCCAACACATGAGTTATGATGTTAAGACATTTCTCTGCCATAACGGCATCGTCCACATTCAGTTGTACCAATAGCGACGATAGGTCGCATGATGCCTAGAAGAAAATTACTTTTGTTATTATGAAATGTTGCACTCAGTGAACTGTGTTTGAAAATTATAAAGTACCTTAACATTCAGCCATAGAGAATTCAACACTATTTGATGAAAACCTGATATTTTTGTTTCATCAATCTCATCATTGACTGTCAAGCCAGAGTTATCAATAATATTCTCTACCATATCACTCATTTTTGAAAAATCTGAACTTGTTGAACTGTCTTCTTCCCAAGCAAATTGATTAGAAATACTTTCCAAAACCTCGACAAACTCAGACATAACACCATTAATATCAATTTTGTATGAATTTGCTATACATGTTTCCAGTACAACTAATAAAATGTTCATGAAGGAATGTAACTGTTTCCCCATTTCAATTGATTTCATTATATTCGTTTTCGCTTTATGTTCACTTATTAATTCATTGTACGCAAAATAAAATATGTCTTCTACATTTTTGTACTGCCCTATGGAATGTTTGTGTTTAATTACTAAATTAGTTATTAATTTGAACATGCTCTGGCCACAGCTGATTTCATAAAAGAATTTGCTTCTCATGCTTTTCAGAGCGCCATTTACTAAATGTTGGTTAATGTTTGGGTTCTTTAACTCCTCAGAGTAATGGTTCAGTAGTAACTTTACCACATTCTCCCTCACATCATCTGTAGGGTCTTTTAACAAACTGATTAGCTTTAAAACAAAATCGTCAGTGGACAGAACCCAACATCCTTTTTCTTTCACATACTCAATCAATGTCATGTTCATATTTCGTATCTGACCTCTTCTCTTATTAGGAATTTCACTAAAACAACTTATTATTGTACTACAAAGTTTTACAGAAGTGATCTTTCTCTGATAGTTACCATTTAAATTGATTGAAGTGACGACAGAATTCTGTAATTTAGTACAAAATTCCAATAGTATTTTTCTGTTTTGGAAAGATTCATTAGTTTCGTCTTTGATCATGACATTTAAAAATGTAGAATGCAGTTGTGTTAAAAATATATTAAGACTATTCAACATACTCAACCTTAACACAGTGCAATCTGAATTTATATTATTGTGTATGAATTCTAATATTAAATCATATTCTAATTGACTTGGAGCTACCTTCCCTTGTGATACACAGACTATATCAAAAGCTAGTGTTCTTATGTAAGCATTACAATGATCTAAACCTATCAATACAGTTTTTTCAATGTGATCAAAATGTTCAGGAGATTTCCAATTCTTTTCAAGCAAACCTTTTCTATTGGCTTGTTTCATTATACATAGTTGACTGCACAGATTCTGCTCAATCTTATCATGATTCCTCAACTCTTCAAGCAATATGTGGTGTAAACTTGGAAACTTCTTCATGGTTATCAAACACCAGAAATTATGAAAATTCTCAATTGCTTTGCTGCTAGATCCAATTAGAATTTTGATGACATCATTTAGAAACACTGTACACCAATCTTTTTCGAAATCGATTTGTTTTAGCAATGCATAGTACATGTCAGCTCCAGCAGACACTAGCCCTGGTTTGTGTAAACTGTATGTGAGACCATCAACCCACTTATTTTCATTTAACAAAGAAAGGGATTTTGCATTTTTGTATTCAATGACCTCTGAAAGCATTAAATACTTTGCTTTGTTCCAGTAGAATGAATTGATTTCTTGCATCACTGTTTGGTACATTTCATCATCTAGTGTTGTTAATAATGTTTGGAACACAGATCTATTCAAATCTCTTATTCCAGTTACAGGGTTCTCCCAATTATGGTTGATAAAGTTAAGTAACTTGATTTGATGTTCTTTGCTAAAGATGCATTCTTGAAAATCAGTGCCCAGGACTTTTTTGAATAACTTCATGGTCTTAAATGAAATGAATGTATACTGTGAATATTCATATCCCATAAGCAGAAGTAAATCAAATACTGGTTTCAAAACTGATTTAGTGACATCACTGTGGGTTTTCTGAATTAGAAAAGTTGATTGAAATATTCCGTACATCATTGACACCACATTATATGTTTTAGATGAGCTGTCTTCTTTATTTCTATTGGACAATTCCTCTTCAATCATATGCAATAATTCTGTTAAATAGGTATCCTGTTTGTCTGTGCATGGTAACACTGTATAGAAACATGTAGCACACAGTAACTGATCATCAAATGTTTTAAATCCTGTTTGTAAATGTGACCACAGATTGTCTGCAACCTGATTCCAAAACTCCTTATTGTTGCCAGAGGATTCTTTTGACAGCTTCAACAAATCCTGGAAATAGGTTTAATAGCTATTAAGTATTAACTTGGTCTTATTCGGAGGTAGGTATAACCTACCTTCAAGTTAGTATTTCATTTATTATAGATTCAACAATATTTTTTTCAAGTTCTATACCTGAATGGACTTTATCTTCAAATCACTTGTAGGAATACTGATTTCTTCTAAAACTTTGTTATTTCTTTCCATTGTTGTCTGAAATATTAAACTTAATGTTTAATCAGAATCTAATAAACACTTTATACAAGACAAAATTATAAATGTAAACTTTACCTACTTTGTTCTGATCTTTAATAGAGAGAATATAACAAATAAAAGACTTAAAATTATTGATAAAACATAATTTACTACAATGTCTATATTTACAATATCAAATCAAATTAATTATAATTAATGAAACTATGATTCCTTAATGGGTTCATAGCCTTCTTTCTGGATTTTCTCTTTATACATGTTAAAGTCTCTTTTTCTATCGAAATGCGAGACCCACTGAGTAGGACAAGACTTTTCAAACATTTTCCTTAAATCCAAGCATGCCTTTGGTTTCTCGGAGCTATCTTTAACATTTTCTTTATCTAGGCATTCCCAGTAACGATCTCTGGAGTCCCAACATGTTTTCCGCTGCTCTCTATCGGGAAACGACATTTTTCACCGTGTTTGAACACCTACAATATAAATTTTTGTCTTAAAAACTGCGCCGCTAATATGAACTACCGATTATAGAAAAAGTCGTGAAAAATTATAAGGAAACTCACGCACGAGCACTCCAGAAATTATTACTTGAAATAATAACTGTAGTAATTTTTATTTACCACAATTTTTATCAGAAGATATTATAGTTTTCTTTACACCAGCCCAGCATAACCTAAAATCTCACTGAAGTACACTAGATTATTGACACTGACAGCTGTCATTTACTAGATGTCATCCATATGAATTACGTTTCTTTACACGATCGTTAAATGAATTACTGAAAGAAATCCTACGCACACTAAAGTCATGTAATTTTTTTTTTTAGTAAATAGCGCTGCCCCTCTCTATGATTGTGATCCTGTGTGCGTTTATTAATGTACTAGTATACCCAAGCTTAAAGCAAGAATTAGGTATTATTCAAACGATTGAAAGTGTTCTATGCAGGGATCGAACCTGCGACACGTTACAAAAGTATATAATTATCAATAAGTTTATTGACTTCCAGTTACTAGACCTACTGGTATAGGCAATGGAAAAAATAATAGGATGTGTGAAAAAAAAATTGGCAATGGCAAAAAATAATAGGCTGTGTGAAAAGAAAATTATTCCTTTATTCCTTCAATTAATTTTTGGACGTCATTCAATTTATTTATAGTAAAGAAATGGTAGTGAGTAATGTTGCAAATAGAATTCAGTTGTTTTATTAACTGCTTGATAATGTCTGTGCAAGGTCTATTCATTTTCTCATTATCACCGACAGCTTTCAATAAATCCTCAGATACTTTTATCTTACACATGTTTATGAAACCATCTAATTGTTTGGGCGTTTCAAAGGAAAAAACTCCGGGTATGAGCGGAACGCGGACTCCCATTTTCTCACAACTATCTTTCAAATTTTTAAATGCATCAACATCGAAGAATGCTTGAGTAAGAAGAAAATTGGCTCCAGCGTCAACTTTTTCTTTGATCTGCTTAAGCTTTTCATCAGAACAGCCAGGGTATCCCGCAATTCCAATACAGAAATATTGTCCTGTTTTCTCCCTGATGAATTTTATCATTTCTGTTGTATTGACGAAATCGGAATTACTTGCATCAAATCCTTCTGTAATGAAACAAGTTTCGTAATTTAGTTCCCTATATACTTTCAATTTCTTGAAAATGCAATACAAAAATCAACAAAACAATCCTTTCTTATCTGTCACCACAAATTAACGTCATCGACCCATCACTTTATTGCATAAATATACACTGGCGTATCTAACTGTATTATTACCTACATAAACAATGGATATATTTTTACTTCAGCTCTGACGCTATAAATGATTTTTCCTTTACTTCTAAGTATTTATCAAAACACAACATTATCCGTGTAGACAAATATTAAAACTCTGCAGCTGTTTAATACTTCCCTCTCTATTACTTACTTTACTGGTAGATTTAAAACTAACTTACCTCCCAAAACCAAGAATAAATTGCATATTCCATTTTCTTGCAGCATGGCCAGGAGATCAGTTAAATAAGTAGTCTTCATCATATCACACGATAAGTGCAGGAGTACATTTTTCTGTTTACTATTCAATTTCAATGCAATTTTTAACGGGGCTATGTTCAAGTCTTTGCATTGATGCGTTTTTGCATGCCAAGTAACAGAGAAGAATAGAGGCTCCACTCTTAAATTATCAATATCTTCTTCAGAAACATCCGGAGTCACTTCAAATGAATAACTGAAGTTGCCTTTATTTTGTATTAATTCAGTCAGTTTGCTTGTTCCTGCCATTTTGGATAATTTTGTCTAATACCGGTTTAATAAAATTGTCCTCCAAATAGTTATCAACTTTTCAGTATCATCTGTCACTTGACATCGATTTGTTTTTGTTTATAAAAAAATTTCGTACTTACTTACAGCATAGATACAATCAGTCACGGTCACAACCTATTTTAACGATAAATTGGGTCAATACTAAAGAGTACCTATACTTTCTTCAGAGAGGTCAGTACAACACCGAGTACTCAAGCGCACTGAACAAGTGAATGACCGTAAAAGGTCTATGATACTTCAGCGATAGGTGCGTCTGAGTTGCGTGCGATAAGAAAGACTTATATACATTTTTATACTAATACGTGATAGATAAAATTTGCAGCTAGTTGGTTATGTACTGATGTTTTTATTGATAGCTTATAGCATAAAAATGTGATACCAATTTGGCAATCGCATCACATTCAAATATTTCTTCCTGTAGTTTTATTTTAAGATCTTTAGAATGCTGTTCAACTCACTTGTGGAGGTCGAATTCCAGACGTCTGTTTTGGAATAATATTATTTTTTTTGTTTTTAATTAAAATATAACTTCTGTTTTTGATAATCCATCAATGCGTCTTCTTAACAATTCTTCGAGAAGGTTTGCAGCTGCTAGAGGTACCTAGGATATAGAAGGCTGAAACATCATACCGGGTGAAATAAAACACATTTATATTATTTAAGTATTGTATTATGTGTATGATGACTGCTCTATACATTGATTAACAATCAGCCATATACTTTATCACAACCCAAAAGGTACAATCAACGAAAAAACTGTATACTCGTATATAGGTAACGTCACTACAAAAAACTTCCAATGAAGCTGTTAAGCCGTAACATGTCGTAATTGGTAATACTCATTCAATACTTAAACATATTGCTGTCACCTGCATCTTCTACATCCTCCTTTATATAAAATTGTCTACTTATCTAAAGACCTAAGATTAATTATTAATTGCGAATAACATGAAGTCTGCTCGATAATGTCAGAATATGATACAAGTGGCAATATTCTAATTGTGTAAAAGCCTCCAAACACCTATTCTACAATCTTCTACATTAGTAATGACTTACTGAAATCTAGTTTCATTGTAATAATAAGATATTTCTTACGTATGTAAGTTATTGTTACGGTTCGGTAAAGCTTCACAATGACCAGTGTGGTACTGATCATAAATGGGATTTTGATGGCGATTCGTTTGTTTTATCTACTCAGTAGATAATAAATGGACAATAATAGCAATTGTATAATGCGTCGTTACAATGCAGGTGTTATGAGACTCGATTATGTTATGACGGATATAAAAGCAACAACTTGCTATCCTATCATGACTTTCAAAATTACTTGCACCTATTCATATAATTGTAATATATAATCAATGTATTGTATTATTTCAGATCAGTTATGTTTGATTGTTTGGCTACATATGTAAAACAGCCAATAAGTCCTGATTTAACTACGCTAATTATCAATAATAGTGCCGTGACGTTTGCTAAAAAAACTGTGATATGTCCTAACTTCAATCGTCACAAACACGCTTCGCTAGTAAAAAACTGTTACGCAAAGTGATCTTACGAATTTAATTGCCTGTTTAAAACTAAAAAAAATCTTCGACTTTCGGATGGTATTCTGTGACAATACATCGTTCTGAATTGACACTGAATTCAGTCTTGTATTCGAAGTTAATTAGAGGTAGTTTATTTACAAGGAATATTGATGTTAAACGCAAGATCGTCAGTTGGAAAAGAAAAACAGTTTGAAACAAATCACGATAAAGTACAATTGAATATTACGAACATATTAAGTACTTCCTATAATACAAGTAGAGTCTAACATTGGTAATCACTGGCTCAGTTGGATATTTTCATTCAGCTACATGTCTCAATCCATTTCCCTCTGATTTCAAATCGAACCTTTATTTGGGTGCCATCTATTAAGTAGAAATAGTAATTAAGTAATTAGTAATAAGGATAGGAAACCCTACAAGTTATACATTAGGCTTTAGTAATATCAGTTCTTCTACAATTGAAATAAAGTGTTACCTGTTTAATCTTCTACGACGTACACAACTATTCTTACGCTAAGATTTAGAAGACATGCAAGTTTCAAAGCTACCAGTAAACTTCGGACATGGTCCTAAGTCCATAGAAAAGGACAGGACACAAGCTACATGGGTGGACTCAATTCTACGTAATAGTAAGTGTAGTAAATTTAAACCTGGCGACAGATCTCTTCTATTTGCATATATGGGATCTTCACAAGCTGATAATACAAATCAGTAGCCGTTTCATGAAACATTAGAAGGATACGGCCAACGTAGAAAACACGTTTAAATTCGAATGCATATAAATACATCTAAGAGATATAAAAGTAAATTCTTTTGAAAAATAGATTGCACAGGTTGGTACCTACATGCTTTTTAAATTTTATTGTCCAAGCAATCGTAACGAATTCAAGAAGAGTTTAGTATAAATTCATAAGATATTTTCAAAGTTGCTTAGAAAATTAAACGCATCCATGTAACAACTTAACCTATGGATATTGTCGCATTATTTATCACTAAATTAATTTAGTATCCACTGGGATCTCCACGAATATATTGACTAACATAGTGCATAGTTAATACTAACAAACTTTATAGGTGTACAAGTATTTTAACGACCTATAACAATCGCATTATATTATAAAAGAACTAAATAATCGTAGTGTTGTCAAGCGTATCGGATAATGGCCGTATTGTGTCGTTGATGAGGGATTTAACCTGGTGGACTGTGGATAAATGGTTTATAGGCCATGGTTACGTCCTGAATAATTTGATTTGGTAATATAGAATCCTTTTCAAATAAGAGAAGCAGACCATGAACAACTTTTGTATCAATTAAATAGGCATACATAAATTTTTCGTTCATTTTTCTCGACAAAAGCACACGATCCACAAATTATTTACTAAAGACCCTTTTTCGACACAATCCAACCATTTATTTAGTAAATATTAACAACTTTCAACGATCCTTAATATTAGAATAATTATATGGACTCCATTTGTTCTGTGAGCTCCAAAATAGGGCTCTCGCTGAGAGGTAGCATACCAGCTGTAGGTGGTAGGCTGTGACCTTGCCAATTAGACTGGAACAAAAATTTATTAATTGAGCTGGAACCGTAAGCCTAGTATCGTTTATCACGGAGCTCATTCGGTGGGTACCTGGGGAACATGCTTAAATCCATTCTGCAGACTTTGTTTAACATACCTAGTTGTTACTAACTAGACTGGTAAAAATTTTGGGTCTTTCGATATTCGAGCAATTATTAGTATCAGAACATCGGGACTTGTATCACAGTCTTCGGCAAGGAGATAGTCCCCTCTAGGCGCTAGCAAAATCGTAGATAAATAGTGAGAATAATTATCCGTTCAAGAGCAAATGAATTATTATGCATCGCATTATATGCGATGTTTTCTTGTTTTTAAGGATTGTCGATAAAGGCATTATCTCGTACCTCTTTATTGGTACAATATAGAGGTAATATTAAATCGTTAATGCTGTTTAGTACCTGTTAGTAATCCTTTAATGAATGAATTTATTATAGGGCGATACTCTCGTCACTTTCCTAATAATATTATCAAAGTACCCTCAGCAGACGGCACCAGTTGTATCAACTGAGGTTTATTTATTTTGAAACTAATAAAATTATTCATGATCCTTGGTAGAATTGTCACAGTTTGAACCATTAGCTTTTTGGTATGACACATACAATATTTACTATTCAAGCATGAAAAATAAATAATGCATCTAATTCAAACGTGCATAGCAACTGTGTCAACTACAAAAAAGCTATTTGCCAAAAATAATAAGGTGTAAAAATAAAACTATTATTATAAGTTTACAATAACTTGTATTTAAATAAAACTTGCCTCTAAGTAAAGCTATCACATCTTACATAAATTATTATATATTTAGCAAATAATAACAAAAACTATACAGACTTTCACAAAGAAAAAGTACAGACTCATAATGTTTAACTTATAATATCTATAATAAATAGATACTTATATCTAATAAAATTAATGTACCATGGAGAAATTAACGAACAAATATGTAGGAACATTCTCATGTGATGTAGAACAAATGGGCAAAATGCAAGACATTCAACTTCAATGAATTAATACAATACTTGGCAAGTCATAATATATGGAATAGCTAGGTTTAGTACAAACTTATACATTACTATTTAGTGATGATATTTGCTTTATTTATCAACAAACAACAGGAATGAATACTTTGTAACAAGGTCTTGTATATTTTTATTTAAATGTATTTGGTATAATTATCAAATATTGAGTGCATCTATTATATCGATACAATGCGTATTATGCTAAGAATACATGACTATTTATTGGGGTTTATATTTAATATAAAGGTACTTAACGGCAGTTTGGATTATAATATTGCAGTGAACCATTGATCTACTGGTGTAATATATAATTTAAAGCACTAGTTATTGTCATGCACTCTAAATATACACAATATATTTGTGATATTACAATTGTCTACGCACTTACATACTCACAGTACGATGCTTTACGAATATAAACCATAATGAGACCATTCTTTCATCTAGCAACAACAGACGTGGAGACCGAAAGCAATCGGACACCACGGCCAATGAAACGTAATCACACTACAAACTCTACGTGACTACTGTTTACGTGGAGTGCTACTAATTGATCTGTTGGAATACCTGGAAGCAGGGCTGCGGCTGGAACAGCGCGGTGTTCCAGTGGCCCGGCCACAGCGGGGCGTCGTGCGACGCATGCGCCGCCGCCTCGGGCTCGGGGTCGCGCGAATCGCGGGTGTCGCGCGTCTCGCGCCGCCCCGCCAGCTCCGAGATCTGACACGCACTCTGCAAGCTCGACGGCAAGTTTGACCAGTTCTCATTACCCAACCGCTCCTTATTCAATATGCTTATTTCCATAGAGCCCTGATATGCGAATTTCGCCTCATCTTGACCTTCTTCCGGCTTATGCTTCGGTGTTCTGTTTGGACCTTCCACTATTGCTTGAAAAGCTAGCAAGTCACGGTTTTCAGTTTCGGTGAGTGGCAAGGGAGGTAAAATTTGTTGTTGCTGAGCTATTTTGTAACTTTGTTGCCGTAACATTTGTCGCCTACTGAGTCCCACTTGCAGGGTGTGAATACCCATTTCGTGGGTAGGGACATTTGGAGGAGTCATCTGTTTCTGAAGTAGCTGTCGCTTTTGTTGAAACAGTCTGTGTTGCATGAGCTGTTGCTGCAACGGCGGTTTGACTTGAGAAGCTGCATGTTGTAGCTCGGTCTGGTCCTGCAGTTGTGACACTAGCTTAGGACTCGCAGGCATCGGTGGAGACGTACTTGAGTAGTTAAACGTTTCGGGAAGACTGATACGTTTTGGAGTGGGATTTTTCGTATCCAAGTAATGTGGACTAAAACTGGCTGCGAACTGGTTATGTTGAATTTGTCTCTGTGTCATTTCTTCTGCAGGTATTGTCGATTGATACTGAGTTTTTAATTTCTGCGCCTCTTTTTGCACTAGATGTAGTTCCAAAACCCCCTTCGCTTTACAGTTCTCATTTAAGCGTTGGCTGTTAAAAGCCAGACTATTTTTTTGTGATTCATTGGACTGTGCAGCTTGTTGTGCCACAAGGCCATCACTAGCGCGTCGCCCTTCCCGAAAATCAACCGGACTCCGCGTGATTGCCCGAGGACAATTCTTGTTATTGACAGACTGGTAATTCAATGGATTGTGTCTAGCGATGAATCCCACGCCTGGAGTTTTATTGTTGTAAGACGATATGTAAACGCATGGATGCATTGGGCTTGTATTTACGAGTGAATTATTATCATAGGCTAATTTTTCTTCATTAGAGGTGCAACTCGGAAGACTACTAGCTAACTCACTAGAACAGTCAGACAGTTGATAGTCTAGGCTTTCGAATGTAGAAAAATTGCTTTGTGATGAATCGCAACTTAGATTTTGACTAAGACTTTTGTTATTGAAAAAAGTGACAACACCACTGCTGGAACTGGAACTAGCGTAAGAACTTAGTCTGTTTTGAACTCCGCCTGATGCGTTCGCGACATCCTCCATATCGGTTTCGCAACCTTCGTCGGTCGACGAAGAATACTGTTGTTGAAATTTTGTCGCCTCTGTTGTATTGCTATTGCCTTGAAGATTTTGGGAATACGTTTGACCCGTAGTATATCTGTTGAGTGAAAATTTGCTATCTGGTCTATACAGTCCACTGGGAAATAAATCACCGGTGGCTGTAGAAGTAATAGAAAAATTTGCATCTGCAGCACTAGACATCGGTGGCAAGACAGAATTTTGTAAATACGCATATGCTGGGAGATGGTGATTCATGTAATCCTTAAAAGGTGGCGTACTAGTTTGGAGACGATTGAGATCTTGTTGTTGTGCTTGTGATACAAGTCTTGTGGATTCAAGTGGCTTTGGTTGTTCTAATACACTACTTAGTTTAGACTCTCCAAGCTGTGTTGGGATAGGACTTGTGCTCAAGTTGACCGTTCCCTTCAAAGGCAATGGTGACTGTTGTAAAGTATTCATAAGTTTAGCTGCTTCAGAACACATTGTAAATGTTGTTGAGTTAGGTAATTTCATAGTATCAACACTGAAATTAGTCGCCGAAGCAGAATTTTGTAAAAAATTCGCTATAGCGTTGTGATCAGTCGTTGAGGAACTTCTTCCACCGTCAATAGCACACTTGGAATCGAAACTTGAAGAAGTAAGCAGTCTGGTACCATCAATGGTATTTTTACTAGATTCAGACCCCACAGTTGTTGACTGCTGCAGTAGCCGTCGGCAGTCTTCACTAGATTGTTTCAAAATATTTTGTTGCTGTTCATAAGTTGAGGTGAGGAGCCTATGTGTTGGTAAAGAGGGCTCATTTACTTTAGCACCTAACCTTTGGTTTGATTGAGATACATCAATATTTCTCATGGAAAGTAGTCTAGTGGATTCTGACTCATGGCTTCTGGAAATAGCATCAAGGTTGCCGACTAAAAAGCTCCGATGCGTATCCGAGGGATCGGAATTTCGCTGGAGCAGTCGTTGTTCGGTCATGTTGACGGCTGCTAGGGACAACAATCTCTGTGTCTCGGCAGACGACGAGTCCACCGGTGCACTGGATATTGTCGGAGTGGCTCTATTGTACTCCCGTGACTGAGAATCGCCAGCGTGAAGTAACCTGAAATAAAATATTATTTTTATTATTAAATTGTACTTGTAGTTTTAGACATTGACTACGTAATTAGCTGACATATTTGAACAGCTTGAATTTGTAATAACAGTTGGCGCTATAGACTCTTACCATCATTTTGTGATATAAACTTCGAAAAAAATCTAACTTTCTTTAATAAACATACAATGAACGCCTACCTTGTGTGATGTTCCCGTCTAGCCTCATGAGCCTCTTTGGCTAATGCTTGATCAGCCACAGAAGATGGTCGTCGTGAGGGTCTGGTACGGGCTTCTACGTTAGACATACTAGCTCCACTGGCCGCCCTCGCACGCAACCTTTCTAATAACAGAAGGTATATCGCCGCATGATGATCATAGCTGTTGGATCTGAGGCTCTGTAAACGAGAAATTGAGATTTATAAAACAAACGCGCACACTAGACTATTGTGCATCTTCATATTTCAATTCTGTACTTCAGTACTTTATGACTGAAATTCACTCAAGGTACCTCTTTAGTTTTGATTGGGTCGATTCCTAAACTCTGCATGAGCCTCAGCACTTGTTCGTTTGGCTCATTGTGGGACGGTGCGTGCGCAGGACTACGTGCAGGGTCAGCTGATATCGTTGGCACTGCGTAGGGCTCTGCTGCCATCCACCGATGCTTCTTGATTTGTTCTATGGTGTACCTCTTCATCGGCTCCAAGACAAGCATTTTGCGGATCAGAGACTCGCAATCTGGAAAAAACGATTAAGCTGTTTTAATACTTAATTTACATTAAATCAACACCTTAAACATTTATGACCTTATAGACATTTTTTCCAATGTGTAATGAAAGAAACAGTAGCTTATCCAAGTAATTTTTCAAAAGAAGATGTGTATTGACGTCGTCGCTAGATAATTCATATTCATAACCTTTGACGCTATCCAAGTCTGGTCATTGTTTTATATTACGTAGATACAGCCATTAGTGCAATGTGTTTCTCATAAAACAATTGACGTGCGACAGACTACAAGATATATTATGTTGATGGATATATGAGTTAATGACGTAGCAGTAATCGGTCCAGACCGCGTTAAGAGGTAACAAAACGTTTAGAATGTTTGGCTCTTTGTCAATTACGTACTGCAGAGTTCAAGTTTTTATCAGCAACGGTCATTAACCTGAATAACAGCAATCAGAACACGGTAAGACAGGCGACATGTGAATTATACAAAATAACTGTGATTAACATGTTCTGTAAGGGTTTTGTATGTAAATAGTGTCAGCTTATTGTTATTGGTTGTTTGATTTTCTTAATTCCATTATTAATCTTGAAGAACATTTATAAATTATCGTTTAACGTTTTTATGTTCATAGTCAGGTACTTCCTACAAATATTTACAAGATAATTTACAAAGTAATTTAGTGTATATTATTTTATCAGTGCACGTGCACGTGGTTAGGACATATTTAATACCGATGACGTCTTTCCTAAATATTTCTTTACTTTATCTACGATACTCAGAATAAATAGTACCACTTAAAGATCTCATTAAGTACTATACAATAACGTCTAATCAAAACTCTATAGTTAATCCTCTCCTCTGACGTCATAAACAGAGTAGTAGGTAGCTTGGCAAGGTGCTCGCAAAACTCCCAAAGGTCACAGGCCGGGTGACTTGGTAACGTTGATGACGTCATAGCTCTGTAGCCGAGCAAATACGGTCGTTGCGCCAAATGACGGTCACATCCGTTGCAAAATGTACGAAGTGTACGAACCCCTAACACCTATGTAGCCTGCTCTTTAGGTACCGAAGTAGGTAATTCTCAACATAGTAGGAGACGTGAGATAACGTTATTATGCTCCACTATATTATGTATACGCTAACCATTTCATCTTTTTTTTCGACATGTGACATTGCGTCCTAAAATAACACTGGATAAAGTTAGGGTGTACAAAAATAAACGTCGAAATGTCCCCTACAGGTTAAAAGGGAATAGACTCGTGACCAGGTGACCTTGTTACGCCTATTTCATTGAAAGACTCTTAATCTATGTATCTAACTATCGCTAATTCAGTTACAAAGGCTAGTTTTGCGTCACATGGAGTAATGACATCAACACTGCGATCAAAGTACATAAGCCGGATCACTGCGATCCGATGACTTAGCACTCGCCGTACAATAATAATTACATTATATCGTAGATAGAGCTTTACCTGACCATGTTTTTGTGACGTTTACGTCATGCTCATGCAAGGATTACAATTGGAAATTTAGTCGTTAAACTGTTTAGTCCAAAATCCAACAGCTTTGGTTTTCCTCATAGTTTTTGCTCGATTTTTTATACCATATTGACAATTAAGTTCATTACGAATATTATGTTATTCGTCTCTGAAAGTTTAAGAATCAATTCTTAGAAAAGGATTGTATGTACCTAAGCATATTTTTATGTCATTAATTTGGAATTATATTTAATTTACTACATGAAAAGACAATGAAGCCAAGTTTTCGTAGCTATATGATTAAAAATTTGAAATCAGCGCCCGATATTATCTAAGTATGAAAAGAAATTTTCGATGATATCGGCATAGGATTGTAGCAACTTACACTAATAGGTAAGTTACAAATATTAGAAACATGCATACCTAAACTACCGGGTGAAATATAAGTAAATAGTCACAGTAGTTCCCCTATACTATACATTTTCCCAAGTAAGCATACTTCATATAAGAATAACATACTCCTATAGCTAATAATAAACAAGATTAATCAACAATACCTAGTGTCCTGTCTATAGGAAGCAACTTCCATTGCTATTATTAAACTGATTTGCACCGAGTTGTTATAAATTTTCCTGTATAAGTATAAATTTAATTAATTACTTAATAGGGAACGAGGGAATATGATAGGTATTTCCCAATAAGTCTTACATGTGTTTACACGATTACACTAACCTAACTGCGTAATCCAATTAAAAGCCTTTTATAAATAACATTTTCAGCTTCTATCATTTCCACGATTGTCCACCTAAGGACATTTTCTCGTATAAATAATAAAAAGTTTGTCAAAGTTAAGAATTATTGTGATACTGTCACTGAAAATACATATTACCTACAATAATAAATGTGACGTATTTGTACTGGTAAGAATCGAATATTTAGGTACTATTGTAGATTTTAGATAAAATACCCATTTAGAAATTGTTGTCCTTTCGAATACATTTAGGTCATGCGTCATTCCATCAAAAATACGAGTAATTACTTTCATGTGCCGAAAGAGAATGACGCTCGTTGAGAAATAAATAACCAATACCGAAAATAATCTTGTGTAAATATTTCATTCGCAGTACTCCCTCTTTACTTGGCATTAACAAAACATAGTTTCCATTCGAGTGACGATTACGATTATAAATATTCGTTTAACCGCGCTTACGAGCTGAAAATAGCCAACGCGCGTCCAAAATCGCGCTAACAAAACACACCACGCTAAGAGTAATTCAGAAGATACTATTTTATTTACCTTCCTTCACTGCTTTCTAAAATAAAGCCGATGAGTGGTCGACTTTTTGCCAGGCGAATCTATTAATAATCGCTCGGACGCAAATATCGCGTGCTTGGCTTGACCATTGACGCAATCGGGTGAAAAATGTGCGGGTGTTATTTAATGAAACTGTGGAAAGTCGGTGGGCGCCGGCACTGGCAGCGAGCATGCTGGTGCTCCATGAACTTGTGCGACTTTACGAGCTGCCGCCGTCACTCGCGTCATCGCGCGTCCGCGCCGCCGCCGCCTGCCACTCGCTGCCATTGGCCCGCCTCTAATGCCGCCAATTATTTTACAAGCCATAAAGCACATGTAAACATAACCATAAGTCAGTTGACGTACATCCAACAATGTTGCTCACTACAATAACATTACAAAATTACGCCGAGCTCCGGCACTCAGACATATCTGCGCCAAAATATTGCATTTAACGCAAATATTATCAACTCTTGTCCGTTTTCTTGTCCATTTTACATAAGTAATGAGGGTTTTATAATTTTTACCCGTTTTTTTAACATGATGAGATCACGCGTAAATGTTTGTGGTTATTTTTTCTATTACGGTAGTAGCGCCGCAGTGCGGTTTGCCAGTTTTTTTTAAAAAGGAAAAGACGTACAATATTAGGTAAGCCTGTTCTAACAGTTAGGTAAGTAACACACCCGTCTGTTTACGCTGGAATGGAATAACCAAGATTTATTTAACAAAGACATCTTGCTAATAAAAAAACATGTTTTATCGCTGTAAATATTATGATAATTAACTTATCTTATTTATTTAACTTCATAATCCCATTATTACAGATTGTTCAATTCAAAAACGATTACCTACGAGATTATACGAAGTCGGAGTATTTTCCACAGTTACATTAACGTTGTACCTACACTTACACCATTACTTGAAACAACATTAATTGTGATACATTTAAGTAGTGCCAGATATTTTCTTGGACATCGAAGTGCCTTGGTTAATTTACATACAGAATTTCTTCGAAATACCTAGGTATTGTTTTAATATCGTAGTTTTTATCCTATTAGCATGAAACGCTAATATTTCGGTCCTCTGCGCTAACGTCAGAGGCGAGCTGAACAAGCAATCGCCTCTGAAAGAAAATACATTTTTCATAATGTGCTCTGTTATAACGACGTGCCGACGACGAACGGCGGCCTTATTTGCCTCTGTCACACTGAGCTTTAAGTATTTTATTCCAACTGGCGTGCGATCACCTAGCTAGATCTCTAAAGGTTTTGATACCGAACATATTTGGAGTAAACTAGTTCAAGGGTTCAAAGTTGGGAGGTAAAACCTTCGTAGATTAATTAAAAGTAATTTAGCAATGTAACTGTAACTTTATTATCACGATTAGTAATAAAAAAAGGAAAAATGGTATGTATCCTTCAAAAATAAATAAACATGTTTTTAATAAAAATTAAGTATCCAAGTGCGTAATTTAAAACCGAAAAGGCAAATTAAAAACGTAATTTGGTACTGAAAGAACAATTAAAATCGCTATAAATGCATTTAATTATGTATAATGTGCTATGATTGGAGGTTTTATAATCTCTATCCGCAATCTTAATGTGCACACACAATACAACAATGTACATTGGGTTAGTATGAAACATTAGAAACATGCAAGCGCACACAGACCTAAAGCAATTAATTTCGCAACAGAAAGGAAATCGTCAACGTATATGAGCATGTAGGGAAAAAGTCAATTATACGCACCTCAAATATACATTGTTTTAGGCGTTAATACCGACACGCAACGACTTTTGTATTAAGTATAAAAAAGTGAGACGTTACTGCTTAAGCTAGTTGCGTGACAAACGCTAACCGAATGCGCTTTTCATATCCGGAATGTGATATTAAATGTGTTTTATTACTTTATCGTATTACAGAATTTCAGTAACGTATTTAGGTGGCCTAATTGACTTACATTATTCACGGTATGACCACCTTATGTACACGTTTTTGTGCATAAAGTGTTAAAATAAAACTTCAAATATTGGTTCGATTCAAGTACATCTAAACTTTGCACTCCATAATACAATACGTACTGCTAATACTTACAGAATGATGCGCAAATACCAATAAAATTCAAATTAATTTTATAAAAAGCAAGGTGTTATCCATTTAACCTATACGACACGTTCACATGTAACCTGGTAGTGAAGCTCAAAACATAAAATCAAACAAACTCAACATTTGAAAGTCAAGAGCACATCTATATATTCTATTGATGATACACCTTTCAATAAAAATTAATCATTGTCTGACCGACGACGTCAACTAAAAACTTATATAAACCACTCAAAAGTTTGGGTCTCTACATCGTGTAGCAACGAAATATATTTTTATATATCTTCTTGCTTGTTTATGAAGTCTTACGTAAATTACAGCACAACAAACTTCCAAAAACACGTCTCCCAAAAACAGTTAAAGTAGAAAACTAAATCTGAAACAAAAATGGCAAGCATCTTCTTCTTCGTTCGTCTCCAAGTATCTACAGCTTTAATTTATTATGCTTCTAATGGAAATTCACAGTCGTCCAGTTCTTAACAAGTTTAGAATTGAGTTAATGAAACTTGTTTCGATTACTAGTTTCCTACTTAATTCAGGAAGGGTTTTCTCAATTTATCTAAACTCGTAAACTTCTGAAGACAAGACCAAATATTCAACGACACGAACTTCCTATTAAGAATTTGAATAATTCATAAAATAACCTTATTCGTTACCCAAATACGATACGTTTTCATTTTTATGAAAGTTTTAAAATGCAAGATAAGGTCTTTAAAAATACGAACCTATTTTTTAAGTAAAAGTAACGCTAAAAACTGACGGTTAAAGCTAGAGAGATTAACATCCCCAAGCGACCTCAATCTTTGTGCCATGAAAAAGGAAATAATCCGTTCGTTAGTGCCATAGCGAGGAGACGAATAGGCAGCATTTTTAAAATTTGTTGAAATGGGCACGTTCGTCCCCGCCGGCGAAGTTACAAGCACTGCTCATGATGAGGGCGCAGACAAGGTGCTCTGTGGGCGCGGGGCATGGAACGCCTGTAACAAGGGCCACAGCCGACTGACTACGACGGTCTAGAGGACATTTTCAACCGCGCTCGTCCTCTGAAAACACTAGACGAACTGAACTGATTAAAAATTTACGGGTAACTAACATTTTTCATATGACCGACCGATAATATTTAGTAGGTGAGTAAAATGTTAGAGCCGTGCATGCTCAGTGCTCACCAAGTGTCTATTACAAATAAACAACGGCGGACATTTTCGCTTAATGCCCTTCGCTGTTTCCTAATGTTTCTACACAATTGTTAGCCGTGTCACGTAACATCCTCTACCACCTATTACCTGAACAAGAACGAATCTCTGGAGGTCGGTCTGGGTAAATTCCCTAAATAAAATAACAGCAAGTAGTTACCTATTGTGAAACGTGGGCAAATATTTATTTATGGTATTAGGGAAGTATGAAAAGTTTATTGCGAATTGGCTATTAGTTATGTCGGTTGTTACTTAGAAACTATTGAATATTTAACACATTTATATAACTGCGTCGAATGATTAAGTTGAATGAAAATCAAACGAGAAGGGTAGAGTTAACGTTAGCTAACCTAATAAAGGGTAGGAGAGGGTTAACCGCATTTAATACGAGATTCAGTTACGGCAGGCTAGTTGACAAAGAATATAGTTTATAATGCTTTGTTTATATCGTCTTAAAATAATAAAGATAAATCGCAGAACCGATAAACGTGACGCATAAGCTAATAAACAAATTAACGTGTAAATCATTAATGATCACCTTGGAACAATTTCCAATTCTTCAATATATCCGATTCATGAAAGCAAAATCCAAACATAAAGGATTTAACTCAAACTTTTTTTAATAACTTCCCATTTATTCCCTGTTTATACAAAGTCATTAACATTTCTTGCGTCAAACCTTCAGCGAGAAATGTATCGACGTACCAGAGCTAACGTCAGCAGCCACTATTTCTGGATCATGCTCGTCATCGGCATCAAGGTGCTCATTGAATTAGCTAAAAAGGACATGCATATTGTGAAAGACATTGCCCTTTTTAAGTACGTTATTGGGGTGACTTTGATTCGTCATCTAGACATCTGAGGTTATAAAATAACATTTATTTGATAGCTCTTAGGTGCGTTCTTAGGCCTCCGATGTCCCGCATACTTCAACTATAAAAACAATTCCAATAAAATTAAAAATATTCTACGTCGCTTTTCTTTGCGTTGCTATAATCTAATCTCGTGTACTTATATACGTCAAAGTTGTTTTATCTTCTTTTGTTCAGATTGTCTTTAGCAACAGTTAATTCTGCTATGTACCTGAATGCGTAATAAATGACCTAGTCTAGTATTGATAAGATATTTTTTCACGACAAGGGTATTAATGATCCATTTGATCACGAACATCTTTCGTGAATTTTCTCGTCTCTTAACTTTATTGGATTTGTAAGATAAAAATAACGGTATCTATGTCGTTTGTTTTATTTTCGTATCTAAATTGATTAATTTCATTCTATTGGCACAAATGAAAACAACTTGGCCATCTTTCTTTCTACTTTATCAATTTCATTAGTAGTTCAAGTTAGAACTTCAAAAGGCACATTTAAACTTTCCTATCAATGTAATTCATTCGACCGAATTCTTGAACATAATAGAAATCCAATGCTCCCTGGTAATCGAATCTGAATTAATGGCTTTTGGCGCGGGCCCGTTACAGGAAAATATTATTTTCTTTTGTTAATTCTGCTCTTACAAGTTAATCGTGTCGTTTGAAAAAATCTTTAAATTGAATAAGAACTAACCGGGTTTTTGTATCAATCGTAGTTAGTTCAGATGTGAATTGGGTGTAATATTGCTATGAAAATCTGGGTTTATAGATAAAATTGGATTATTCAATATATTTCCACTAGAATACGTTTGTTGGGCAGTCATAATTTATTGGTCCGTGTTCGCGGTCGGTCCACGGGATGCATGATTGAACATGCCGATGACGCAAGTGGTCGGCCGCTTATCGATTTCATTATTTTTTATCTTCAGCGTCCACGATAGTTTCCAGGCTAGTGTAATGCTTCATTAAATCCGACTAATTACAGATAATCCTTTTGAATTTACAAACATTTGACGTAAACACAGTTACTATCAACAGCTACGTACCTATTGTTTTATGATAGACAGCTGTTTATTTAACATCCTATACTTGTTTCTTTTTTTTGTTTGTTCTAGCCAGTTTTCCTCATATTTGCATTAAATAATTATTTACGCAGGTCAATTACGTTTGAACTCTTCACTACGGCTATATGCTTAGAAAATTGACATAAACTAATTTTGCAAGTATAGTTAAACCAAAAAAAAATAGTTAATTCATATTGCATAGCTTTAGAAAGTTTTGTATTTGTAAGATTACCCCGTAGTCTGCTTTACCCTCTCTTCACGGTTATAATAAGCGGTTTTTCCTTAAACACCCTGAATGTTATATTTTTAGAATAGAAAAGTTTGATGGGAATTTTGGGATCAAATTATTTTTAACTCCATTACACGATTCTTCATCACGTTTCTGAATACCTATTTATGAAGAAAGTAGGTAGGTTTCCCTTCCCTTCACGAGGGTTCGCGGTTCATAGAATTAGCTAAGTATAGAGACTATTCAAGATATTTTTACAACATTATTTATAGGTCCTATGTTCTTATTTCATTTTCTCTCGTTTATTAGAAAAAGTGCTAATTGGGTATACGTTTGGTTTTTATTTCATATACCTACTATACAGTTTTAATTAGAGCAAATAGAATTTTAGTCTCTAATCTAACAGACATATTTCTGTAACTTGAGTTACATAAATGTTCTTTTTAAGTAGGTATTCAATTATAAATACAAAAACGAGGTTCAAAAATAAATCAAATTGTACAAGAAACATCGTTCTCTTGTAGCTTATACAACTCAGAGCCTTTAATTGAACAGAAATAAAATGTTCCAATTTTTTATCGAGGGCCCGCGTAACATCATTCAAAGCTATTAAGACACTCGACGTGATGGCTACAAAGAACCTTCTTAATTAGAAAGAAAATTGGTGAAGTTAGTTGAAACGTGTCAGTCAGTCTGAGCCCTACTTAATCTCTCGGTAACACTTGGAAACTTGCTCATACAGAAACGGTTTTCTTTTCAAACTCGACGCTACGAAAGTGGCATTGTTACGTGCATGTAACATACCTTTTTGAGCAAATGAGTTTTCGCCTACTTCGCCCTTTAAAAGTAAAGCGAAATTGTTAGTCCGCGAATGTATTCAAAATTAGTACAAGTACGTGTGTTGGAAGTCAAATGGAGGCAAGAGACCGAAGAAAGGTTTAGTACTTAGTTCTTAATCATAGATAGCGCAAAGGTCATTGTTGACGTTATGCACATACGTCATTCATTTGTTGAGAGTCAAGGGTAATTTAGTTTACAGTTTTGGTACGATCGACGGACAATGCTTTGACGTGTCTCAAGCCTTGAACAATATTGAATGAAGAAAGCAATGTCGAGGCACTCGAGGCTCACGATCGTTTAACCATCACGAACTAACGCTACACCTCAAGGTACACTTTTTCTTGTCGTTGTATCTCGTAGCAATTTAATTGTATCGAATCATGATGAGTCGTTTAGAATTATGTACCTAAATCAGGTGGTAAATGTAACACCTACCATACCTGAGTCTTATTATCACATCAACGTCAGATACAAAAACTTCGATAAGTTTGAAATTGAGACATAATGAGTTTCTTGTCGCTTACCTTCGCTCATAAAATATGGTATCCTAAATCTGCCGGAGAGCACTCTGTCCCTTAATGACTGAAGTGTGGAGCCGTCGAAAGGCAGTGCCCCACATACGAGCACGTATAACACCACGCCGAGACTCTGTTGAAAGTACATCATCATTAGTCCGGATACTTAGGTACTCTGTACCTACGTACCTGAGGCCTTTAGTACGAGTTTTATATACGCTCGCTTAATTGTAACGAGTACGCGCTCGGCGCTCTGATTGGTTGGTTCATTGGTGCCGGCCAATCAGAGAGCCGTACGCGTACTCATTACGATTACTTTAAACGTAAAACAAACTCGTACTAAGGTCTCTGTTCTCAATACCTAAATATAAAAATGATCTATAGGCTAGAAGGCTTCCTCGTATGCCTAAACATGAAAGTGATATAATGTATTTAAGATATGAAAGTTCATTACAGTTGCAACTCTAATATATTTAAATATGCAACTTAGAGTTCTAACTTGCATATTTTTGCATAATCCATAGTATTTAAAGTGATACAATATAAAATAAACTTCGGCGACATGCGTGACTCATTATTAGTTTTGAACAAAACCTTTGGTATAGGTACATTTTAATATAATTAATATATGGTATAAATACTTAACTGTATAATATTTATTAAAATAGTACCATGATGTTATTCTGAATTAAAAATAGCTTTACTAAGCTTCTAGTACGTCAAAAATAACGAAATAAGAATCTAAATTAGCTACTTACTACCTACATATTTATTACTAACTGTAGGTACAGTGCAGCGATGTACAAATAATGTTCTCGTTATTCGACATTCATCGATTTAATTAAACAATGTAACGGATATAAATAGTAAAAAATTCGTATGCATATAGGCATAATAAGTTTTATTACCAAAACTTTTGCATTTAAACTGAACTAAGATACCGGCATAATGTTCGATATTTAAATATATAAAACTAAGCCGACCGACCGTAATCTATTTAAGCAACAATTTAGGAGAAGAGTAGGTTAGACTCACCCATATATCAATTTCTGGGCCCGTATATCTCTTGCCCTCGAAGACTTCAGGAGCAGCGTAGGGAGGCGACCCACACCACGTCGCGAGGAGCTCGCCTGTCGCGTAGTAATTGCTGAATCCGAAATCCGCGATCTTGATATTCATGTTAGCATCCAGTAGTAAGTTTTCCGCCTGGATGGAAAAGTTTTCTTTAGTAACACATGAGACGTGAAATTCTTAGTCCTTACAACTTTCTTAGACCTGCCATCCTTAATGTTCTAGGAATTAGTTTCACAAATAGCCCCATTCGTGAAAGAGGAAATTAAACTTTGGACTTGGTTATCGCGTCGACATTTTTCCCGTGCGCTATGAATTATGTGAGAGTCGCGAGCTTTTTCGAGTGGCTACAGTCCGCTTGGCCGAAAACTCATTATTTCAGAATGAATCCTCGACAGTCTGCACTCGGCATAATCAACAGGAATGTTCAAATAAGTACCCAGGTTTGTAGCAAGCGAAAACAAAAGCAACATTTCGTGTAATTTTCAGGTAAAATTTTACATAATTTCATATTCTCTTAAACGGGATTTGTTCCGTTATAATATGTATATTTTGAATCTGTTAAAGTTGAGAAACACCAAAACTTCTGTCTTGTAAAAGAGTTCCAAAATTAATTTTATACTACAACCGTAACAAAGAGGGGTTACAACTTTTTCATAGTTTTAGATTTATGTAAGTAAGATACATAAAACTTCCAAGATTCATATATACAATTTGTCTTAATTTACATTTTAGAACCACTGAGCTGGCTTTTCCACTGCGATCGAGTAGACAGAACTTTTGCCAATATAAAACTGTCATCATGTTTCTAAAGTTCTAAAAGTATAAAAGTAAAGATTGCGAATACCGATGTGAAACCAGTCTGAGGTTATTTTGACACAATTATAATAGCTCACTTGGAGCCTTTAGCATAAAGTAACGTTGAAAAGGACACTAAAGCACTCTCCTGTTCATGATGTACCTAAATGTCTAACTACATTTAACGCTGAAAGCGCGTGCTCGGAAAACTACTCTATGTATACTAACTGAAGTGAAGTTTGATAGATTTATGCAAAATGCTTAGCCAAACTGTTATTTTAGTCTAGTTGTGAAGTAAGTTTAGATAGACTAACCACTAGGTATATTTTGAAACAGATGGACGTTGAAAATGTAGGAATGTATTTTTCACATTCCCCAACGTAACTGGGGCTTAAGTCCCTTACGTAATTAAAAATTATGCCGGTCCCCACAGCTTAAAATGATATTTTATTTTTTAATTAACCTGTTCCCTGCCAGTTGCTATAATAAATACTGGGTGTATCTAAATGGGTTAGTATTTCAAGGCTTCGCGCTTAACTTGGCTGACTATAAATTACTCCGAGTAATTTATTGGTAGTAATGAAAGTTATACTAGTACTGCCATTAACTACATACTTCACATAGCAATGAGGACTTTTCCTAAGCTTCAAGTCAAAATAAAAAATGTCAGTAAATGGGAGATGTTCTCTTCGTTTTCTAAGCAAAAAAAAACATTTGCTACGTTCACAAAATAATCAACAAATTAATCTTCTTGTCCTTTTAATTTATGGGTCTATGACTCTATGAGTGTTCTCAGGAGTAAACACAAACGCAAAATTCTCACTAAGAATATGGTAATCATTTATCTATCTTTTCTTTCTACACAACAAACTCTGAACAAGGAAGTTACCTTGAGATCTCTGTGAACGATGCGCCTTTCGTGACAGTACTCCACGGCGGAAAGGATCTGCCAGAACTTGCGGCGTGCTGCTTGCTCAGCCATGCGGCCATACCTCGCGATATAATCTGCAACAAACATGTTTGTGTGAACGTTAAGCACTATATAGAACACTACTAAAAGGTGACACTTTTGCCTCACATCAAATGGTCGTCGTAGAGTATACCTTTTTGGAAGGACCCAGACCGATCATTTGTCGACCAGTGATCAGAGGAATTGCAAACCTTTTTGGGGAGGAGAGAGAAGAGATTAGGACTCTGGCAACGTTACTTACACATTCAACCAAAACGAATTTACTGGGAGGCCGCGCCGTGATGTCACCTGACCGTATGTCGAACTGACCTATTTGTGCTAAAGCATAGCTCTCCCACGTGATTATCGCAGGTTCCGGATAAATAAACCATGACAGAAATGATGACTATGTTAGTAGTTATACCTGTTTAGATACAGGAAGCAGTGCAAAGATCAAACTTCCTTAATAGAACGTCATGTCCGCCTTTAGAAGCATTGGTAATAAAGTTTAATGCGACTAGTTAATGATATTTTCAGTGGTTTTCATACATCTAAAATAAATTCATTATCACATATTTCACAATCGACGTATGTGGCCTACAATCACAGACCACACAAAATAACATACCAGTTATGATGCAATCCTTTTGTACATGTACAAACAATTTGTCATAAACGACAACTCGTCGGTTTAGCTCTTATGTTATTGTTCTACGGACTACCTACTATTATAGGTTTCCGGTAAAGTTATGGATATAAAGTATACAGAACATTAATGTACCTACACATAACAAATAGAGTAGGTACCATGTAATAAAGAACTTAGATAAATGGTTGCGTATTCTCTGCTCTACGTACGTCATTTGATCGTAGAACTGATTATAACAATTCACGGACGCATGGACTTATCAATATAAATAAAGAAGAACTCAGTAAAATTGCTTATCTGACATTATTACAACATTATTTTAGGAATAACAATGAAAAGCGTCATTTGAATAAATGTCTAAATCAGATTAGGGCTGTGGGCTGTGGTCACAAAGTCACAAGACTAAAGAATGTAAAAAGCGTGGTCTCTTAATAATGTATAGCAAGAATCCGTACATCATCCCTAGCTCATCAAGCTAAGTTGGGTAACTTAGTAGTTTTTCCCGGTTAAATTTACTCACCAGGTAAAACACCATACGAATTTTTATTTCTCTATAATTTGATAAATTTAGCTACTGCCTACAATGTTAGAAAATTGTAAAAATACGTACAGCCAATTCGAATACAAATATATGAATTGCTTTTGATATAAATGTGTACTCAAACTAAATATAATAATAGTTTCTATTTTTATTTGATATTTGACTTAGTCTTATCACCTCTGTTCGTCATTTGAGACCGAGTACATAAAATTTACATATTTTATTTAGTAAATAGTTAGGTATACAGCTACTTCCTTAATTAGGATCTTTGTTAAACAAACAAAGGTTTAAATGGTGAATAAACTGTTATGTAACAAATAATTAATTGTGTTCTAAGAACAAAGCTCTTACTAATGGACTCTTAGAAGGAACCTATATAAAGCTTAAAAGTGAAAGCCAGTCTATGTTCAAGTACTAACAGACGATAAGGATAATATTACTTGAACACAACGTAGGCCTTATTTTCGTTCCAAACACTACAGGGAACACGTCCCGTTTATTATTAAAGTGGGTCAGAGTTTATCGCCCACTTTAACTGTCGATCCACTAACAAGAACATCTACAGACCTTGAAGTCTACGGTTCGATTCCCAGGACGATAAGTGAAATTAGGCTTCTCTTTATGATAATTTCAGAAACTGCTCCAAAAGGAGATTACTACACGACCCAAAAAGAAGCCTATTTAAAGAGGTCATAGGTCGTATGTGATTGGTCCCAATGGACTTATTTTAGGGTTACCATCGTAACGAGTTGTACGAGAATTTGGAACAATCCTCCTTTCGTGACAAAAGTAGAGTATTCGTTTCCTAACTAAAGGACCACACGCTATTAAATATAATATGATGTTGTGCCGATGACTCGTAGATACCCTATTTAATAACATACTCAAGCTGGGTGCACATACGAAACAGGAATTGTAAATTCATCCGCTACGAAATGAAAACACCTGATGCCCTGACGCAGGTGTTGAATGAAGTCAAACAAAGTGCACATTGTGTTTAGTATTCTCAACGACTTACAATCGAGTATTAATTACCATGCACTATACTTTCAAATAGGTTAGACGAAGTGCAAGGAAATAAATGGCGAGGCCGATGGGCCGGGCTACGAAATTAATCACGCTTGGTAGGCAGATGTTGAGCCATGTCGTCCCGTGGGTGTCGTAAAAGGCAAGGGGATTATATCAAATGGATTGGCAGAAACAACCTCTGCTCATAACAACATAATGATGTAATCACTTAATATACGCCTCTACGATGAAGGAGGGAACATATTAACAGATTCTTTATGCCATATGAATGACTAACTCGCGTCAATTCCATTAACATTAGTAAGTATGTATTATTATTATGGCTTTATTCATAAAGTCTTCGATGAAGCAGATGTGATAACTGAAATTGTTAACACGGGTCTCGCTTTAGCTGATTTTAATTAAATGGAGGCTTATAATGGGCCAATTAGTAAAACGTTTCCCTTGAATAGGTACATTAAAACTGTGTGTAAAATACTTATTGGAGTGCTGCTGATTACCTGTACTGCTTATGTAGGTATTTTTTTAGAAAAAATACACTAATATTTTAGCTTGCAAATCAGAAACATTCATTTAACATAAAACTCTTTCGGCATGAATCATAATCTTTGATGAGTTTCATATTTAATGAAATTCATGCAAAAGAACCGGGTTTCGAGGCTTGGAGATCGCAGTTGGATTTTGGGGGAACGTAGTCAGCTGTGCGCGAAATTGCTTCCCTCTTCCACCCACTACCCCTACTGCCGTCAGCGACACCCTGCCGATGACGTCACGCCAGGCCTGCTTACGTCATAGACAAAGCGGCCACGAACTTACCGAATACCCTTAATCGATTTCGAGGTTATTTACTACGTTGTATTTTTGGTTGCGTTCGAAAAAAATGCTGTTTACCTATTCTCTGAATGTCGAAAATGGAATTCATAGATGTTTCGTGAATCAACTAGAGAGAATAATTACGCTATCGAATACTGTTTGTATTATAATACATTTTGGCAGATACCCACGTATTTACTCAACTTCTCTCAACAAGACTATTCTCAAGAGATGTTTAATTCATGCAGGTAGGTAGGTAGGTGGGCATGTAAAATAAAAACATGTGAACACGGCGGGTTACAATGACTAAAGATTGATGATCTCATTGAACGTAGGTATTCTGGAAATTTGCCAACTTTAAATACTTAAAACAGACTGTCTGAAAATGAGATAACTAACGTAATTGTTTGACAAATAAACAATGCAAATACAATGTCTGAGTATGACGAGATTTGTTATTTAATAGTTTTTCTACATTTTCTCTTTAAAAGTCATAGAATATGTCAGCGTTTCGAATCTTTGCTATTTGCTTCGGTACACTGAATGGATGAATTTTAAATACATGCTACTTAAGCAACTCTTTCTACAGACATATAATAGGTAAATGTAAACGTCTTCGATAGAAAAATTTGTTTGTTAAAAGTTATCTACTAGTAATAATAATATCATTTGTTTTTAATTCAGAGATCTAGTTTTATAAAAACATTTATTAAACTTACCAAAAATTTCTCCTTTGCTTGCGTATTCTGAAACTATGTAGATCATGTTCTTCGTCTCCATGACCTAAAACAAAACAAAGTTTATCCTTTCAGTATTTCGTATATGTCACAGATCACAGATATTTATGTAAATACCATTTTTCTTTTACAGAATACAGAGTACAATTTCCCGCCAAATTAAATGTCAAAACATAGACCATAGACGCTGCGTGTTAAAACCTCATTAGGTGAGTGTTTCTTCGAGAAAATCTTTAACTTTTATTTAACAAATCATTATTCTCCCGCGTAGTTAAGCACCATAGTACCTAACTTATTAGAATCTGTATTTGTATTGAATTGGTTAAAAGCAGTAACACGAGACACGATTCATTTTCTTGAAACCAAGTTTTCTGTTCAGCAGCAATATTAACTTTGGGTTGAGGATAATGACACCGTTAATTTTTTGTGAATTTTTTTGAAGAATCACCAGGTACGCTCTGTCAATTGATATAAAAACTGACTACCGATATAACAAGGACATTTTATGTATTCCATCTTTATGTACCTATGTAGTACGTAAGACTCCAGACCAAACATGGAAATACATTTTACTTATTCATAGGTCCGTAAGCATAACTAACTACGCAGAACTTTACTGCAACCTTCGTACATTTTTTATGTGTAAGTACTGGCACTTTTAGTACCTACTGTGTAACCGTTAAACAATGACGTCACAAAAATTACGTGGGGTTTCATAATTAAATGCTAAGGATTATTTAATTAGAGTTCTGTTCGTGTTGTGGAAGATTTAAAGACGAGACTAAATACATTATCTAGGTGCTACATTGGTTTGATAAAATCTTCTACAATTTTATTAGATAACGGCTAAAATTTTTAAATTTACAGGTCTGTATAGTACAGTGTCGTGGATAGCTTTAACACACTCATGTTTATTTTCTATATTTGTCAAAGAAGAATTAATGTGGAATAGTTGTAAACAAGGTAAATAAGTTAAGTTCTAAAATTAGTTGGCATTGTATTTACCTACCAAGTGTATCATAATAATATAACAGAACATGTTTGTAACTAAAAATAAAAGTAAGTATAACGAGAGAAACACAGCTGAGAATAAAATGTTTTAATAAAAAGGTATCTATTAAAGATAAACAACTTTGTTATTTACCTAATTTTAGTCGAATAAATAAAACTGGAGATACTGGTTTATATACTAATAGGCATAAAAAAATAGAAAATCGAAATCGTTAAAAAGATCTTCACATTTTCTGCTTAACATTTTTCCAGCGAGGAATCGTCATTGTGGGCAATGTTTACTAATAAGTATGTAAATAGGAATTGACAATGTTTACAATGGAAAATTTACATTTCTGAATTTGTTTATTAAGTGCCAAGAAGTTGTTAAGAACTGTAATAATGATGACAACATATTACAATTCTGTTGACACGTAAAATTGGAAAGCCAGTCGTGTAAGTGTAGTACCACTTTATAATATAAGTTAATGGTCTAGTAATTTACTTAGTTTTAAGGCATAAAAAATGTCGCTCCCAACCATATAAAAATTTAAAAATAGAAAAGAATAATAATAAAAACGCACGCAATCTGCATAAAACACGCACATATCACGGGGCCTATAAATGTAATAAAACTGTAGAAGTGTAAATTCTGTACATTGAAAATTAAAAAAAATTGACTGTCTGTCTATATATTCACGCATCATGCCAAAACCACGGTCTTAGTCTGATTATAAAATATCTTGGGCATCACACTGGGTAGGTACTTTTCATCCCAATAAATTGTGTATGTCAAAAATATAATTTTCACGTACCATTTATTAAATCATTAACTTTGGTACGTATTGCATAATGGGGTTAGTAATAAATGCAATTTCTGCTCTATTGTGGTTTCCATATTAATTAAATTTAGGAAACATTACGAGTATTTTAACGATCATAACATTCAGTTTTTTTATATCTGGCCCAACACGTCATGATAATGGCATTATGAAAAGTTTAAATAAACTACCAAAAATCGACCAATGTCATAACTTATCTATGGGCAGATGTGCTTACTAGATATACATTTTAATCTACTGAGAGACAGGTTATTGACACTGGCCTTGAAATTATTTTTTTTTCCAATGACATGTTCAAAATTTTCAAAAAGAGAATGCGCATTTTTATTATTCTAAAAATGTGCCTCGATATAGGTATTTGAGATGAAAAATAGAATTATAGCCATTTACGCACGTTTTTTAAAAAACATTTAAATAAACTAGAATCTCTAATTGGCCTATTTAAAAAAATATATACGCTTGCAAAACGTCTTTATAGTAGGTATTATAAAATTCGAGAAGTTTGAAATTTGGAAAATATTACGTCTTGAATGTAATATTTGAGTGAAAATAAATGAGAAGTCAACACTCCGAGGATCGTATTTTGAGTAAAGTCAATTGCCTCCGTCCCCTTAACACCACTTAATAATTTCGATGGAAAAGTTTCTATCTCGGAATTCAATGAATGCTTTCATAAATCCTGCTTAACTTTGGCGAATTACTTAAGTGCTGGATTTGGAATCTTTCTTTAAATAGCTTTTAGTTATTGTTATTAAAATACAAGTTTATTTACCATGTCAAATAAATACTCTCTTAATTTGTAAGTATAAGTTGTATCAATAGTCTTAACTTTATCTTTAACGTACATTTATTTAGGATTATTTTTAACACCCAAAGAATCTGTATTGGAACATATTTGCCTAATATGAGATACCTCGTTAAACCTTGGTATATTTTCATAAACCGGTGACGTCCCACAGATGTATGCGTTATCAAACAGTGATTGTTATCAGTACAAAATGTTCATAACGTCAATCTATTCTACTTTACCACGTAGTTTATCTATCGGTAAATGGAATCTATTAAGGAAACACCACTCATGCCCCGAGCACTTTAATCCACTATTAAAATAGAGGTTTTTGAGATTACTCAGATTAACCGCGCCCGTGACCTCGGCCTTAGATTCATAGTTATCACTAAAAATACAAACATGACTCAGTATCTTTATTCTGTCTTTTCGAAATGGCTTCCAGCTGTTAAGAAGTCATCGCTACCACTAGGTACGCCATGGAAATGAATGAAAACCGTGCTCTCTGAGAGTTGAAACTCTCCTGTCTATAAATAACCGGAAAATGGTGGAGTAACATGATTGTTTTGTTACTCAAAACAACGGATATGGGTGTTTGATTGTATAATGATAACATCTCAATAAGCGGAAACGTTCTCTTCCCGTGGGTTAAGGACAAAGCAAACACTTAATGGCATTCAAGATGACAATGTTTGTACACAAGGAACTTGGTACCCATTCAAGCTTTTAATAATAGTATCAAATCCATTCATACCTTGGCACGTGTTACGAAACCAGATTACGTAACATTGCATTGTTCCAATTACAAGAATTGGTATTGTGCTGCAACCTACTTGCCTGGTTAGTTTCATCTGTTACTATGTTGGGATCAGTATGCACGCGGGATTACTTCGTTCTATACTACACTAACAAGTAACAACTGATTTAAGAGCCGGTTTCTTAAGTCTCAGCGTTGAGAACATGCAATTGGAATGCGTTTATTAAATGCAATAGTTTCAAATCATTAAAGCTACAAGCAATATCTTCTATCCCATTGGGAATGGATAGTACTGCTCTAACTATTAAATTACTGACTTTATTAACACATTCTTTATAGTCTGGAAGCATTTCTGCAGCAAGTACTGCTTTCTATTCATTCGTACTCATAAGGAATAGAAAGTATTCTATGCATGTAATTATAAGATCCTATGAGATCATCCAGCTGATCCTACATGACGCATATCTAAAGATATATCTTTGTTTCTGTGTTACACCAACACCTGTGGCAGAATGAATTTGAAGTGGCTTAATCATTTCTGTCTCGTCATAGAAGCCTATTATTATGTTTCCTAATAAGTAACTGAACTATGAATGATGAGGTGTAAGACAAGCCAGTGAGGTCAGTCGATAAAACTGGGAAGGAAATATAATGGAAAAATGAAACGTAAACAGAGATTTCACAATATCGCGTAAAAGATGTCTAAAGGAAACCAGTCTTCTGTAAAATCTATAACAATTGCACAAAAGATACCTTGAACCGCTTTCCCCGTTTTAAAGTTTCGGATTTCGTTCTGCAATCCCATTGCGAAATCTCATTCGCATCCGGTGCTACCCGAACGTTTCCAAATTCGGTATATTTTTGATTCTGCCTGTATTGGAAAAGCAATATGGAGGTATCTCATGATAGAGCATGTGTCCTTATTCCACCCATCTAAGTACGAAGTCTCGTCTAACGTGCACCTACTACTAAGCTAACCCAATCAAATATTGATTATTGATTTGTCGCTTGACGTTGAGTACCAAGTGTAGCTGTAACGTGAGGGTGATGCACGCCTAATCAATTAGGCGCGCCGCGTTCGGCACGAGGTTAGGTCCTCGCCTTCACTATCGTTAGTAGTTAAGTACTTTCCGCTCATGTATTTTCCGAACAAGGACTAACTTAAGTATCAGAATAATTATTGCAAAAGATGAAACAAAAGAAACTAGCTCATCATAAAATAACAATGATCATTAATTTGAAAGGTGGCTTAACCCTAAATTATACCATTTGTGGTTGCCCACAAAATAAAGTCGACCATTTTAAACTATTTTTATCCCCGCCTGTAAGAAAGGTATACATGTGAGTTACCAAAATTCGAGGTGAAATATGAGAACGAAACATGCGATTGCTGACGTAAATTGCCTCATACGTAAAAGCTATTCACATTGACTAAGTTTCTGACGTAAAGAACATTTGAAAGACAAAGTGTACTATGTTAGACCGCGGTAAGTTTTTGTTACAGTTACGTTTGTAGGAGACCGACATTTCTTATCATAAATAGCGCAGAACGATGTATGCGAGCCGGTCTCGTTACCACATAATCCATGAGCAAAACATGACCTTACAAGCAATATGAGTACGTAGCCGTCCCATTCCACTAGTTTCAGCTGCCAACAGAGTAATGTCACGCGTCAGAACAGCTAACGGCATGTCGTACTAGTGCCTCATTTTGTTGGGCTAATGGCATTATTGTCGCATTATTCGGAGCGAGTCATGTGCACAACGTAATTGGCATACACTTAGGTCGTAGTCGCCCCATCAGCCGGTAAGTCAGCTAATTCATACACATTTGTTCCACCGGTTACCGACACGGTGCCAGTGGCCACGGGAGTTTCTCTTCCACTACTACTGACCTATGTTGACTTTAATAAGCGTAAAGCAAACCTCTTTTAAAACAGTTTGCGCTAGACCAACTATAAACTTGTATGACATCATCACCGTCGTCATCCATAGTTTGTATTTACCTATTTATCACGCCATTACTGGCTGCAAGTCTTATATAAAGTCATATTTACATTATGTTATTATGTACTTACTTTATACATACGTACTACATACACATATGCACCACACCTACCTTATAGGTATAGATATAGATAATAGCAATTTTAATACGTCCATAATCACCTACGTAGTCATACGAATAAATTAATATACTAAATGAACTCACCTGGTAAAGCTTAATAATATGAGGATGATCCAGTCTCTTCATGATGTCCACCTCTCTGTAGACTTTTTGAAGATTGCTGGCGTCTAATTGCGATTTATCTATTATCTTAATTGCTACCTGCAACAAAAAGTAAACATAACCTTAATTGAAAAGTAACGTTGTCTTCAGTGTTGAGTGCTACTAATCTATTTATCACCACTTAACTCGTGTATGAAAGGAACGAGGTCTTTGAACATATAATATTTGCTATCTTGGTTACAAACATCTCGAGCTACAAAACAAAATCTTTGCTCTCGCTACATATTAGTGTACATGCATAGATATTGTTGTACTACCAAATTGATCGTGACATCACTGTTGTTCAATATTCTCACTTAGTGTCAAGTGGGCATCTAACCAGACGGCTGCCTAATAAAGTTTTTTCAGCGGTCGTAACGGAACAATACCGTTAGTGGCTTGTGTGTTTCCAGGCTTACAAAGGGGCGGTGACGTCAAGACGAGCGTCAGTCCCCAACGATTGAAGCAATTGACGTGATTGCGCCAGCGGATCCGTCCACCGCAGCTGGTTGAATTATGAGACAGCAAAAAACCCCGGAAAAGAAAGCTGAATATTCTAGTGTTCTCTTGCAATATTGTATTTTACAGACAATGCAATCTGCACGAGCAGAAAAACGATTCGTGTACTGGATGCAAGACAAATGAAAATGTATCCTTTCTTATACCAGATAGATGGATGAACAAGAATAACACAATGCTTCTGAGAATGACTATTTTTTTGCTTTTTTGAGTATCACTATATTTTTAGTGAAATACATAATCATTGTGTTTGAAACTCTAACAATATATCAGTTTATGAATATCTATGTAGGTTCTATAAAAAAATGGGCACCATTTAAACGCACCAATTTTTTGTCTAAAAGTGAAAGGCGAAACAGACAGACAGTCTGTCACACCCATACAACAGACTATGTCTTTTTGTTGTCTAGCTAGACTTCTGAGCTGGACATTAGCTTTCTTCATTCAAACGAAGTTTCGAACACAGTTCTCATTAAAACAGCGATAAGTGTAACTGGACGGACTATGCATTGTTTTCTGATACATGTGGCTCACCTCAAAAGATACGCAATCGAGTATCTTGCAAAATATTTTGATAAAACAACCGCAATCCATTCATATCTACTTGAAAAACAGTGTCAATTACATGCGCAGCGACACATTTCATATGAATCTATTTCAATTCGTAGGCTCAATTATAATTATCTTAAAGTCAAACCTATTTACATATAAACTCCAACAAGTCTACTACAATCGACCTTTCAAAAGAAATAACTGTTTAAAGAATGGAAAATCCAATGCGGGCTCAGAATAAATTGTAAGCAATTCCGTATCGAGTAAATGTGTTTAAAATTATCTCCCAGTATCCTACAAACACGATTTCTTGGACATAATATTATTAGAACAGAATACAGGGACAGTAATGATTGTAATTGCAGTAATAGAATCTGAACTACCGGTCAGCTGCTCTGACATTGACCTCATTGAACAGATAGCAGCACTGCGCACACGACTCTCTTACGTCACTAAATTGGAAAACACCCCTATTCCAGATTCATATATTTGAACTTACGTAACTTGACAATGAAAGTCTTCGACAAATAATGTAGTGTCTTTTTAATCTTCTAGTTTTGGAATTCTTTATGCATTGAACTAACCACTATCCGCTGCTAATGAATGCATGAATAGGATTCAAATACCGTGAAAACAGACTACTTAATTTATTTATCTCTGTACATATCTCTCATCTGTATGTCTACTACGACCACACCTGCAATGTATTGCAAATGTCAATAGGAGTATTGACTATTACATCATCACTACCACTTGCTGATTTCCATCCAAAAATAGAAAAATTAAGATTCGTGTCCACGCAGTTGCAAAAAAATATCCCTTTTGATAGCAAGAATAATTATTTCCGTTGCTAATATTGACCACGTGTATCAACGGTGCATAACAAAAATGCATTGCAAATCATTAAAATGCAGCAACATGTTTCTACATGGGGCTTTTTTACTCCGTAACCAATGTATAAAATGGAACTAATATCACAATATCTCACTATCAAAATGTTCACAAACGAATTAAAATTGTTAAATTCACAACGAAATAAAAAATTCAAGGTAATCTCTCGTTCCAGTAATGTGTTTTAAGTTTAATGTTTTTATTAATTCTGTACAACCATTCGTCTGTCAGTCCAAATCGCATTAAGTCGTTTCGTTTTAGAATACTTACTCGGTAATAAATGTAGAAAGCGGCAAAACACGATACTAAGTGACAAATGAAAGAGAAAATGTAATGTCTACTTAGTCCAATTAAGTGGCAATCTGTTAATTATTGTATAATACAGGCATTAGTCACTGTACACGTGACAGACTACAAGCCAGTAGTTTTATGGCTCCATTGTTCTTCCATTGAAGACAAAGTGTTTAGAGAAAATTGTTCAATTTCAAATATCCTCGAATATTGTAATCAATGGATTCATTAAGGAAATCCAGTAATAAACCCATTAATTGGTAATTAGATAACCATCAAAATGTTATAAATTGATTCTCCAATCATTGATACAACAATTTTTAAGAACGCAATACACTTACGTAGTTAATTATCAGGACCAAAACAAAACAGCGTTATCATCAATTTTTATAATTAGGTATAATATAAATAAGTCCATTATTTTGATGATGGCATGACAAATGGACAAGAGATTGACCTTATTCAGGTATGCGTCATAAACTACGTAGATAGTGTACATACCTAGTGTTTTCTTACAAAAGGAACCACGTGAGTACTCAGGCAGTTACTTACATAATTCATTATAGCAACGACATCAAACAAATTCTTTACAAATAACGTAATACAACAACTGACAGTCGACACACAATGTTATGTGTCTAGGTACCTAACCTATAATACAATCCCTTTGGTATTATTTAAACATGTCTCGGAGGAATTTAATACAGTCCGTCCGTAGTAGCAACTGCAACGTCTTGTAGGTAACTGGAGAGGTAACTGTCCGTTGTGGAATCTCGATTGCACAACGCGGAAAGACTTTTCTAACGAAATGAACCGAGGACGCCTCGACCAGCCTCATATCCGGATGCATCGTATTACGGATACTATACACTTCGAACCACGCTATAACCTCCACGGTTGAGAAACTTGGGGGGTCAGTGCCCGCTAACCCCATTGTTCCACCAGTTCCAACGAACTGAACACGTCAAACATTGGGTGTTGCAAGAAATATTCCCATAATATGCCAAACAAACTAAAAGATAACGAATAAAAACCTGGGCATTGTGCTACAGCGCACCTTTAATTACAAGAATATTGCTCAACTTTTCCTTATACGGATTTCACTTCATTATTTACGGTATAATTGCTCGATGAGGCAATCGGTCTTCTCTACCAATCCTACTCTGCATTGCTAGAAGAAACAAGTCGCAACCGCGATACTTAGCATCAGCCTAAATCTTAGGTACCTTTTCTATGTACCTCTATAAACCCTAATTCTTAAAGGACAGGAAAGAGTTAAAAATATTTGCATGGTGATGTTTTCTAACCTTCGGGGAAATACAGTCGTGATAATATTATTTTGCCATTAGGTACAGTTGTGGACAGTGGAACAGCTTGCAGATTATGTTGTTTCCCCATACATAAACCAACCGATCACGTTTAACAAGAGGAAAATGGAAAACATCTGCCATTTTATCAAATAAATTAATTAGAAGGAGTTTATTTGCACAGGTTTATAAAAATTACACTAACAGATTATTTGGTTACGTAACGTCTAATTACAACTGTTTGTACCTAATTTCCCTACTTCTGAATGAAACTGTTTCATCAATATCGGTCTTCCTTAAAACAATGCCGATTACACCTCCAACTAAGAAACAATAGTTCTTACGTATTCATCGACGCTGATTACTTAATCGGTTATTAAATCCTAGTTAGACGACGTCATCAATTTCTGAGTTACATTTTTCCGGGAATCATAACCGTTTATTATGTTAGTACCAATCAACGTTAGTGTTAGTCGGCTATCATCGTATTCAAAGCAGAAATCTTCAAGATTTTCATTTAAAGCACAGATCGAGACATTGTGTTTATTTAGTTCAAAATATTTTTGGTATGCTGAAAACTAGATTTATATCAATGTCTGTCCTGTTATTACATGAGACTACTTAACATAACTGGCGGAAAGGTGGGTGTACTACGCATTGTGGCTACACGTGATCTTATCATCTCGTGATATTCGTATCTATGAAAGAAATGTTATAGGTAATTACAACGACACCGCACACAGATTGATCCACACCGATTATGAGTCACATGCACTGTTTCCACGTTGACAACACCCACAAAAATTACCTGTTAGACGGCTACCTATTAATAATGTCACACAATAACAGTGACGCACATTGGACTGTAGTCCCCTTCAGTCAGAAACCCTAATAAGTAAAATTAAGAGGTCGGTGATAAATTAGCACTAGCCTTCTAACAGTGTGACAACGTAGTTCTCATAATTCACACCTAACTGTTAATCAATTGAGGCCTTCGTGGTGACTCCAAGTCGCGACTCTTGAATTCACAGCCTCAATTTACCTGTGTATATAGCGACGATAATTTATCAAGCATTTGTCAAAGTAAACAGCCATTCTTGGCTACTACAGCTCGCTAGACAAATATCACTTCATGACATTTTTTAGTAGTAATTGAAGTCGATGTGCCTTACAAAATAAAATGAGAGGTCAAAGTTCATCTGGTGCTTTGAAAACAAGAAATAAAAAGCAAATGACTTAGCGTACATGCCTGTATCGGTTTTAGCACAATCCAACAAAGAGGGTGATCTAAATCGAAGGTATCCAGAATTTAACATTGTCCCACAAAAACAGAATCTGTATCCACTTCTGTTAATTTACAGTTCTTCAACGGTTTGAGTTTGAGTGTTCATTATCGTACTTTGAGATTCAAATGAATGTCGCCATTGTCTTTTTGAGAAGCGTTCTTCATTTTTCTTGGCTTCCAGCATTTTTTACTAATCCTTTTAATGAAAATGTTTA